ATTCATTCATTTCCAATGTATGAGCTTTATGAAGGTCACTAAAATTAATATGTTTGACTCTTTTCATAGACCTTTGCTAGATACTGGATTTCTTTAACCCCTCAAGCTCCAAAGTGCAGCAGCTTTAGTATTAAAAGTCATGTTTTTTCTTTCCAGATAGCTACTGACAGCTTCATCTCAGTTACTTATCTCCTAATGGATGCCATGACCCCAGTGACAGTTTTGTCACATTTTTTTCAGGCTGAAAATGTGGATGTTGCTGTTGTGATGGTAATGAAATTTTAAAAAAGGTTGTTAAGTTGTATAATTATGCAGATCTCATTTATTATAAAACAGTATTAACAAGCCATTCAGTGATACTTGTACCATTAAATGTTAAAGAAGTGTAATGATATAATTCAAACATGAGACTAAGTGCCTTCTCTATGCTGTGTTATATGAAAAGATTTAAAAATTATGGACTTGGTGATCTTCATGACATTGCAACTTTTTCTCTGCAGGTAAAGACTGACCTCTGTATGAAGAACATAGAGGCAGATAAAGGATGCAACACTCCCTACCTGACAGAACTGAAGGATGACCTACAGCATTCCAGATTTTTGGAACATGAAATCACATCTAGTGACTTTAACCCCAAGAGCCTTGCTGAAAATTTGCTGTACTCTGATCATCAAATTTTTATTCATTCAAGGTATGTTAAATTTCTTTATACATGATTGGACTTTAATTTGATATAATTCAGGTAAAGGCATAGTTTAATTAACTCTCAATTAAGTAAATCTGCATAAGTTAAGAACTATTCTAGCCTAAGTTGAATCAAGAAATCTAGTACCATTTCTTAATCTGATTTCAATTATTATATACAACAGGTTCCTGAAGATAGGACCTCGAGGAATGATGACACCCCACTAGGGCCATGAAGAATAAGACCCCCACCAGGACCTCGAGGAATCTTGACAGCATTTAGTGTGATGTCTATGTGCCCTTTTTTTTCCTTCCTGGATCCCACTGAACTGGAGGAATTTGGAAATCAGGAAATCAGGTATCTGAGTTTGATGGTAACCCACAGACTGTGAAAAGGAATGAAAATAGCGAGGCAAAGCTGGAGACTAGAGACTAGAGAAGAATTGTTGTTGGCCAAAAAAATTGTCAAGACTGAGCATTATCCCCAAGATTCCACTTGGAAATTGTGGAGTCTACTTGCCAATTACCACAAGAAGGAGTTCCCAAATCTCTTTGTGCTAGGGAGGCTATCTATCACTACTAGCATCCAAACTGCAGACTGTGAAAAGAAATTTTCTGTGCAGTATCCCACCTGACTGCCTTAAGAAACAATTGAGAAAACAGAAAGAAGTGATGTTGATCAAAACTGAAGGATATGATAGGGCTTCATTTGACTTTGAGGAAGCCCTGCAAGCCTGGGAAAATGTGAAGGAGAGGAGAATCTATGAACTGAATCAAAGAACTGAAAGTGATAAAAAGCTGAACCTATTGAAACAATCATTTATATCCTTATATCAGCTTTAAAAAACATATTTTCAATATACAAAACTGTGTCTTAGGATGCTAATCACATGTGATGCTTAGGATGCTGCTTCTGACCTACATTTCTGCTTCAGTGACCAAGTTAAGAAGATTTGTTAAGGTCCGTTACTAAGTAACTACTTGTTGTACATCAACTAAATTTGCATTGCTTATGTATCTTAAAGAATACTTATCCCATGTGATGCTTTACATGAAAATGTACTTTAGTAATCCAGCCATATCACCATTGGCGGTTTCTTGTTTCTTGTTGCTTTTCTTTTCTTGAATTTCTGTCTCTGTTTTATTTTGGGTTGCTCACTCATTTAGGTAAGTTGTAATATTAAAGTCTTGTGTTTATCTTAACATAGTCTTTAAGCTCCATCAGATTCACCAATATTGTGCCTGCCGGGGAACACCCCATAATTAGTCGTGTCTGTAATTCTGGGGAATTATACTCACAATTAATTATATGTCAATGTTTTTTGCTTACCTATGTTCTACATAATCGCATACTTCATAAATGTCTTGTGTATTTTTGTAGTGTATTTATTGCATTGTAGAGTTGAAAAGTCAGATAATTAGAGTGAGCAGCCCCTATGATTGCCAAAACTTACTGTAAACTAGGAACAAGTTACAGGAGCTTTTTCTTTGATAAATAAATTTGATTTTGTTTGTCTATGTTGTTGTGTCATATATAAAAACTTGATGAAATTGGTTCTAAAATGTAAAATCTTTTCCTTTTTTAGTTCATTTTCCACACTGGAATAGAACAGTTATAAAACTAACAACATACTGAGGGTATTATCGTCCAAGGCTATAATAACTTGTGATTTTTTTAACAATATGAATANACTCTAGAGAAGTGACTAGACTATGAAGGAACTCTAGAGAAGTGACTAGACTATGAAGGAACTCTAGAGAAGTGACTAGACTATGAAGGAACTCTAGAGAAGTGACTAGACTATGAAGGAACTCTAGAGAAGTGACTAGACTATGAAGGAACTCTAGAGAAGTGACTAGACTATGAAGGAACTCTAGAGAAGTGACTAGACTATGAAGGAACTCTAGAGAAGTGACTAGACTATGAAGGAACTCTAGAGAAGTGACTAGACTATGAAGGAACTCTAGAGAAGTGACTAGACTATGAAGGAACTCTAGAGAAGTGACTAGACTATGAAGGAACTCTAGAGAAGTGACTAGACTATGAAGGAACTCTAGAGAAGTGACTAGACTATGAAGGAACTCTAGAGAAGTGACTAGACTATGAAGGAACTCTAGAGAAGTGACTAGACTATGAAGGAACTCTAGAGAAGTGACTAGACTATGAAGGAACTCTAGAGAAGTGACTAGACTATGAAGGAACTCTAGAGAAGTGACTAGACTATGAAGGAACTCTAGAGAAGTGACTAGACTATGAAGGAACTCTAGAGAAGTGACTAGACTATGAAGGAACTCTAGAGAAGTGACTAGACTATGAAGGAACTCTAGAGAAGTGACTAGACTATGAAGGAACTCTAGAGAAGTGACTAGACTATGAAGGAACTCTAGAGAAGTGACTAGACTATGAAGGAACTCTAGAGAAGTGACTAGACTATGAAGGAACTCTAGAGAAGTGACTAGACTATGAAGGAACTCTAGAGAAGTGACTAGACTATGAAGGAACTCTAGAGAAGTGACTAGACTATGAAGGAACTCTAGAGAAGTGACTAGACTATGAAGGAACTCTAGAGAAGTGACTAGACTATGAAGGAACTCTAGAGAAGTGACTAGACTATGAAGGAACTCTAGAGAAGTGACTAGACTATGAAGGAACTCTAGAGAAGTGACTAGACTATGAAGGAACTCTAGAGAAGTGACTAGACTATGAAGGAACTCTAGAGAAGTGACTAGACTATGAAGGAACTCTAGAGAAGTGACTAGACTATGAAGGAACTCTAGAGAAGTGACTAGACTATGAAGGAACTCTAGAGAAGTGACTAGACTATGAAGGAACTCTAGAGAAGTGACTAGACTATGAAGGAACTCTAGAGAAGTGACTAGACTATGAAGGAACTCTAGAGAAGTGACTAGACTATGAAGGAACTCTAGAGAAGTGACTAGACTATGAAGGAACTCTAGAGAAGTGACTAGACTATGAAGGAATTCTAGAGAAGAGACTACGCTCTGTAGGAACTCTAGAGAAGCGACTAGGCTCTGAATGATCTGTAAAAGACTCTTAAGGAACACTAGAGAAGCAACTTGGCTCTGAAGGAACTCTAGAGAAGCGACTAGGCTCTGAAGGAACTCTAAAAGGCTCTGAAGGAACTCTAGAGAATTGACTAGGCTCTGAAGGAATTCTAGAGAAGTGACTAGGCTCTGAAGGAACTCTAAAAGGCTCTGAAGGAAATCTAGAGAAGCGACTAGGCTCTGAAGGAACTCTAAAAGGCTCTGAAGGAACTATAGAGAAGCGACTAGGCTCTGAAGGAATTCTAGAGAAGCGACTAGGCTCTGAAGGAACTCTAGAGAAGCGACTAGCCTCTGAAGGAACTCTTGAGAAGTGACTAGGCTCTGAAGGAACTCTAGAGAAGCGACTAGGCTCTGAAGGAATTCTAGAGAAGTGACTAGGCTCTGAAGGAACTCTAGAGAAGCGACTAGGCTCTGAAGGAACTCTAAAAGGCTCTGATGGAACTCTAGAGAAGCAACTAGGCTCTGAAGGAACTCTTGAGAAGCGACTAGGCTCTGAAGGAACTCTAGAGAAGCGACTAGGCTCTGAAGGAACTCTAAAAGGCTCTGAATGAACTCTAGAGAAGCGACTAGACTCTGGAGGAATTCTAGAGAAGCGACTAGGCTCAGAAGGAACTCTAGAGAAGCGACTAGGCTCTGAAGGAACTCCGGCTCGAAAGAACTCTGGCCCTCTATAATATGCGGGAAATAAGCGACCCGCGCCCGGGTTGCACTTCAAACTGATATTTTAGAAACAAATCATCACTTTCACACACATGTCGCACATGGACATTTTAAAAGTTGGGAACAGTTGAAATTTGAACGAAGAAAACCGACAGTGGAACAAGGTAAAACACAAAAGGAAAGTGTCTGCTTATGGTTCAAAATGTTGGGTTATTTTTCGTAATAATATAAAAGTGAAATAACGCTTCAGTAAGAACGGTTTACTGAAGTAAGGGAAAAAATTATCATAAATTAACTGTAAGGGAACACATGACCAAAGAGGAGCTTGAATCATTCTGCGCGCGTGTACCTCTTATTTCTTAACTGTTTCAGTACGGTTTTACAAGACTTGTATCCCGTCAATATCCAACAGGTCCGATAACATTGCATGGGTCTCCGCTCCCGTATGCCTCCAAATGTGGTCGTCTGCTACAATAGGGATGCGCGTCTTGTGATTAGACTGTGCTGGAACAGGTCCACTCCAGACACATGTATTGTCTTTGGCCGAGTTCCGCTCCCCTAGTCGCCTCATCGCCCTAACGACATCAGTACTGTGAAAGGGCAATGCCCGCCATCGGTTTGAAATCAACATTGTGTAATTGACAAGTAGAAATATATTTCTGTTTGGGTATCAAATTAATAAAGATTTGCTTCAGTAAGTTTTGTGTTTATTGTTGTTGAATGTATAAACTCTAGGAACCCTCACTGTTTCCTGCCAATATCTAACATATCCAATATCATTGGACTTCCACTCCAATGGTGGTCGTCTGCTGCAATAGGGATGCGCGTCCTGTGATCTGACAGAGACATATAAAGTCATTCGTCTCTGGATCAGACTGTACTGGAACAGTTTCGGTTTTATACATGTCTAATCTGAGTTTTCCCGAGCTTCAAGTAAATGAAAACTGGAAGACAACATCAGTGCTGAGACGATCAACAAAGGTAAGTACTCATTCAGGTGATTTTTATCTACAGTTTATATTCGATGAGTGATATATTAAAGGCAATATGATTCAAATCGAATGGAGTGAAGGGTTTGAAGAAGTTCCTAGTGAATCGTTGAATGGTGATGGAATTAGCTAGTATTAAGGATCCTTGTACCACTGCATAATTGCCAGAAACTGTAACTACGCATCGAAAAATGTTTTATTTTTCGGCAGGACTATAGCTTTTATAAATCATTTCTGAAAAGAAACTATACCTTGTGTGACTTAAATGAAAAATTTACTTGTAATAGATATATAACAAGAGGCCCAAGAGGGCCTGATTCGCTCACCTGAATAATTAAGCAGTCATAGCAAAATATTCTCATTAAATATCGCAAACTTTGTCGGCTCCATCTGTTGAAACTACCAGGCAAATATGATTATAAGATTCTATGCTTTTGGTTCTTCTTCAGAAGTTGTTTGACATAGTTTTCCCTGTGACTTTATATACTTATTATAAGTAGGTCAATGTCATTTTCCTTCTCAAACTTTGTTAGCTCTATCCCAAGAAGCTACCAGCCAAATGTTATGAATCCATTCCTTTTGGTTCTTCAGAACTAATCCTTTGAAATGTTGTTGACTTCTGTGACTTTTAAAGTAGGTTGAGGTCATTTTCATTTGCAAACTATGGTGAGCTCTATCCCAGGAAGCCACCAGCCAAATATTGAATTTTATGCCTTTCTATTAATCATCAGAAGTCATTTGATGTTTTTATCATATTGGACACCTGTGACCTTGAAAGTAGGTCAAGGTCATTTTCATTCTCAAACTTTGTCGGGCTCTATCTCAGGAAACCACTAGCCAAATATGAAGGTTTTATACCTTTTAGTTCTTCAGAAGAAGTCATTTGAAGAGTTTGACATATTTGACCCCTGTGCCCTTGAAAGCAGGTCAAGGTCTTTTTCATTCTTAAACTCTGTTGGGCTCTACCCAGGAAGCCACCAGCCAAATTTGAAGTTTCTAAACCTTTCAGTTCTTCAGGAAATTGTTTGAAGTGTTTGACACATTTGACCCCTGTGACCTTGAAAGTAGGTCAAGGTCATTTTCGTTCTCAAACTTTGTCCGGCTCCTAACAACGAAGCTGGCTCTATATCTTTTCGTTCTTCAGAAGAAGTTGCTTATAGTAAAAGTTGACAGACCAGGGGCGGACGACCGACGCAGCACAATGACCTAAGCTCACTTGCCCTTCGAGCTATCTCTTCTGTGTTATGGATGCCGTCTACACTTTAAAGATTGACAGCTGCCAGAATGTAATATTATAACAACAATAGAATCTTACAACACAAAAGAAATGTGCCGACATACTCTTAAGTTACCAAGTCGTTTCTACATTTAGGATGTACTCGGTGAAAAGCGACGATTACTGGACTATTGTGCCTTGAAATACAGATTTTCTAAATTGTACTGTTTATGTTACTTAGTGGGACACAAGGTTTCATTTAATATTTCGTATGAAGTGACATTCCTCAGAATGTTTGAGATTTGCTTTCCCTCTCAGTGAGCATCTGTCATAGCATAATTGAAGGCTCAGTGTGAACCGCCTTGTTGATGAGACAAGAAGACTAGTTCGATCCTTTGATGTACATCAGAAGAATCTCGCGGTCACGTAATGGTAAAAAATTAACAGGCTTTGAAGCCGGGCGTCTCTCCTTTGTAATCTTCAAAGGTCTGGTATCAGCCTAGCAATTGGTCAGGTTTTTATTTTACCCGAGACCAATCAAACAGCTATATTCATGCCTTCAATTTTGCTATGACATATTCCAGGGGTGCAGAAAGTGAAAGTGAGTGGAACTGACACTACTTACCCCGACAACATGTTCTCTCGGCTTAGTCTGTAGGAATATTCTTCATCGACCCGTTTCCCGGGGTCAATTTCAATCTATTGCAACTGACAACAGAAACAATCAAATAAGTTTTTACCACAACTTTTATTAAACAAAATACAACAAACTAATGGTTCTATAAAAACAATACTGAACATTTGTCTACCAACAATAATGCAATATACAATATACTACAAAACGGTTTGTAAACATAATACACAATCACCTTGTTTATCCAGAATTCTGATCTCCAGGTAAACTCGATCAACACAAATGCATAAGAGTTCTTTCTCTTAATTGACCAATTTTATGTACTGTATTTGTATGAATAATAGCTAATGCTCTAATAATTGCCCATCCCTCCTCCACTTTGGTAGCAAATCCCCCCCCCAGAATTTCATTTTTTTTTTATTTTCCAATATTGATGAATTTTAAAAAGGTCTGATAATCGCCCCCCCCCCCCATATTTGTTTTATCATGTGTTCTAACAATCACAGGCTATAATTAGAACCAATACTGATTAATATGAGAAAGAAACCAATATCCTATAAAAAAAAAAAATCTGGAAAATAGAATTCCTGGACAAACAAGGTCAATATCACAATTTTTTTATTTTGGAATCATGCACTGGAGACTTACTTCATCCCTTTTATTCTATGGCAGGTACTCAAGTCTAAGGTGTCCCAATATATACATGTATATTGTACTCAAGTCTATAAGGTATCACAATATATATAATCAAGGTCGAAAACATCGAAATGGTCATGTACTAAATCACTATACAAAACAACTTCATAATCATTTCGAGAAATATTTCTAAAACAATTTCTTCAGGTTGGATTGTGGAAAGGTGCATGTAGCACAACCATTACAGTGTTTATGTGTGACTAATAGAATCTTCCCCTATCTTGAGGGTGTGACAGAAATCAAAAATCACCCCGAGGGTTGGAGAATTCTCTGTTACAAACTCTAGGTAGGGGATGATTATTTTTCTCCCATCCTATTATTTCAGTCACAGCTCCACCGACAGTAGTCTGCCATGTTTGTAAACAAAAAACACATGTGGGGTATGCATATCGTCATTTACTTTTGGTGACGTCACCATTACCGGTGACACATTTTATGACGTCACAATTGAACATGTGCTAATCGACACGAGGCTATCTCCCCCTAGGGGTGACAAGCTGATCTTTCCCGGCTAAAACGGGACACACACCTTTGAAGGGTGGGAGAAATTTCAATGACTAGTACGGAATGTAATTTCTCACCTCCATCAGATAAATGTAATTTCTCACCTCCATCAGATAAACATAATCTTTGTCTGATGAAGGTGACAGAGTACATACCACACTAGTCATTGAAATGTCAAACATAAATACTTAACTGGTTGTGCTACATGAACCCGTCTAGAATATATCCAGTAACATCCAGATCGTATACCCATCGTTTCATTTGCAATCTCATTTTGAATTCCTATATTATATATATATACTTCCATATATTGGCAAAATCCTTTATAAAGCTACAAATTTAAATACGGTTGGACAAACGGTGGCAGTTTAACAAAGTAAATAAATTGCAAGTACATTATTACTAAAAAGATACATTTTACAATATGCAATCATTATAACCTTATCAAACGCTGTGAACTTTTCGACACCCTCTCCCCTTCTGATCGTCTCCCTTCCCACCGTTAAGAGGATGATTTCAACACTGACCCATATGTTTTGAAAAGGCAATTAAAATCCAAAGACTTGATAGATAATACACATGTTAATATTTTTAGTTGTTATGCCATCGAAGTAATTTAACTCAATTCACTACATTGTTGGATCATTTTGTAGAAAATTATCGTTTCCATTTTCTTTATGTCTAGGTACTTTCTTTCACAGTGTTCTTGGTTCTGATTGGCATAATTTTCCTGTTAAAAATTTAAATATGCCTTTACTTTTCCAAAACTCATTATACACTGGTACGTACAAAAAATTCATGAAACAAAATCATGCTGTGCAGTGTCAAGTCTTGCATGTGTCAAATGAGGTGCAATGTTATAAATACCCATCAAATTTCTTTGACAATGGTATTTGATATGATTATATAGCCCTTTAATATATTATTAATAAACAATTCTATACAATAACAATTCTTATACATTAATTTCAAACAAAAATATCTCAACAATGGTTTAAAGGGTTTAGGCTGTCCATGTATACCATAGCATGATCAAGTACATGTAAGTCTGCATAATTATAATTTGATGTGCTACAAAAAACTATAGTCACAAAAAAGAAAAACATACAGGATAGCATTAATTATATGTACTTTTTATAAAGCAAGGCATTAAAGCAACAATTTTTGTAATATTCTTATTTAATAATTTATTATTCATTGCAGATATCGGTAAAGGGAAAATTTAACATGCAAAACAAGAAGAGCAAATTAACCGATTACTGTATAGGATATATATAACAGATATGTGTGATGAAAATTCTTACCATTTTTGTGTCTAGTGCAATTTAGTTTGTTGTAGCGTAAAAAAAAATGTGTACACTCATTTTGATATAGGTGCAATGACTTAATAGGGCCATGAATTTAACTCATATGTAAATGTTGACCTTTGACATGTAATTTATCACAGGCAAACGTACTGTTTTCATACGTTCCAATCCCAGCTACATCCAATGGAGTTAAAATTATTGCAAAAATTCTGAGACAACTTGAGAACACTTTGTGGGTTCGAGATCTATATGGGACAGTTGCCACGTACAGGCAGCAGGTTGGTGGTTTTTCTCTGGGTACGCCGACATTAAAACCTGGCATGACCTTTAATGACTGTAGCTGTCTCTAGGACGTAAAACACAAACAAACCACACCAAACTACTGGACATGAGATCTACCCAACAATGAATGTCATATTTTACTGATATGCTCAAAACCGAGTATTATATTTCCTTGTAAAATGTTAATTACAAACGTGGGTTATATCAAATAGGATTCATAAGCCCTGTGCAAGGCAAAAGTTAAGAAATTAAAGTAATTTAAAAAGGAATTCTTAATTCAAACTTTAATATTTAAAAAAGGAGAAAAGATAAATAAAAAGGAAAAAGATAAAATAAATAAAACATATATCATGCCTATTGTTTGCTGAACTGTAGGTTGCAAGTGGTATTATTTTCATTTAAAAAGTTCAAATACAAAACAAAATACAAAAACCTTTTTTTTTCTAAAAGTAAGGACAAGATTTTCATTTTATGTCTTTAAAACAATGTTGAAACACGTTATCACAACTTATATTAATCACTCTTGTTGACATGAATGTTGGTGCAAGGGGGGTATCTTATGTGTTATACCAAAAAGTCCCAGTAACTAGCCGATCCACCATCTAGCTGGTAATGTTGGGAGCTGTTTATCATGATCCTTCAGTGTTTGAAAGATACATCATTGTGCTTTAATTTCATAAACCCCTAAATGCATTAACACTTCATATAAACAACACAAAATATTGTGAGCAATCTAATGCCNCCCCCCCCCGGACAAACTTCACTAACAAAAATGAAAAAAGGGTCATTATAGTTGTATATACAAATGTATTGGGGTTAAAAATCTGATTTCAGTATGCTACAGTTAGACTTGCCAAAAGTTACCGATATACAAACATTGCTAATTATAGGTTGTAGAGCATGAAATGTGTGTCGCACAAAGTGACAAAGGGCAAACAAAGGGCTGTAACTCTGTATATAGAGAGGCTCGGGATCCAATTTCAGTATGTGACTTCCACTATCCAAAGAGATCATGTTAACATACACAATTGGGCAGTTGTAGTTAACAGAATATATCAGATATATCCCAGACAAAGTGACACACTGACAGACAGAGTGTAAACCAGTATCTAGTTCCCTTCATTAGTAGCGGTGGAGGAAATATAAATATACAGTAAAACCTTGTTATACCGCCACCTCCTTTCCTCTGTGATTTTGGGGTATAACAAGTTTGTCAGTACATGTATAAGTGTCCACACACCAAATGAACTTTATACTTTAAAATTTATTTATTTTTACTTCAGAATGTTTTTTTTCCCAAAATTATAATTTAATGTATCATATTGTTGAGCGTGCAAAACATACAGCTGATTACCTGGTCAGTCGAAAGTCACGTGTAACAATACAATGTACACACGTACATAACATTCCTGTCATCTGGATATACCTGTACTCGACTCAAATTGGCGGTATTTAACGAGGTCAAAATAGTGTGATTTTAACCATTTGTTTTGGAAATATGATGGCGGATGGCAGTATGTGCATAAATGTTGGGGAAATCCGTTCTGAGTAAATTAATGGTGGTATGCGGGTTTGGCAGTTTAATGGGTGGCATTACAACGGGGTTTTACTGTATAATGCTTTAATTATAAAAATAAACAACACTGTACAGAAGTGAGTGAGTGGTACAACGCATCTCCTTTACAAACTCCAGTACTAACACTGAATCAAGAAATTTTAACAAGTAATGCGTTTTGCCCTATATAACACAATCACAATGACTCTCAGCATGACACTACAAAAATGTATCAATTCAACTAAAAGGCATGTTTTAAAATATGTATACAAACCTGTTTTTTATCAATATGAGATTAATTAGTTCATGCCTACTGAAACATTTAAAGTCACTTCTGAAGCAATCCACCTCAATTGTAGCCTCTCCTTTTATTTCTATGTCTAAGACACGCACGGACATCTTGTGCATTGAGACATGAGATAAACATATCCCAGTCCTTTATCAGGAGCACTAATGTGGGCAGGAGTTTATACATAACACCTCTTTTAAAGTTCACAGTTGTAGTGAAAATCAAACACCTGCAGTATGCACGAAAGTCTATGATTAATAAGTCATGAAGTTGAACTCCATTATATTAAACAGTAGGGAAATAACTAGGTAAATATGAACTCAGATTTTTTTTGATTTTTTTTATAATACTTGCAAAGTTGTTTGTTTATGCATGAATTATAAAGTTAAAATGTGGTTGTACATCCGTTGTCCAATAAAGCTGAAATATATCCACAAAACACGAGTTATACTTTCCAGCAGCATAAGGTGAACAGACATACATCAGACTGCAGACTGTATGTGTGTACGGTATAAAACTTAAATAAAGGTGTATGGGTATACAAATGTACAATACAAATGAGTCTTCAAACTTACAGTACAATTTGTATGTGTGTGTATATGTAAATGCTCTGAATGTACATGTATCACTCCTATCATATTCAACCTAAGTGCCTATTCCTTTATTAGTAACCCCAATCCATTTTCTGTTCGGAGTATGTACTCACCATAACTTACTGACTTGAAAAAAAACATCTATTACCACTATTTTTTGAGAATTTCGTAAGATTTTTATATAACCATTCCAATTTTCAAGGGTGCTTTTTAGGTTGAAAATGGTATGTCAGAAAATACTGCCATTGGTAGCTAGGTTTAATGATGTAGTTTTTTATACAATAGTTTTACGCTAAATGAGTATCACACAGTAATACATGTATTACATATGAACTGTATATATCACTTGTCATCAGCTATGTCAGTGGTGAGGGAAGCAGTATTCTCACAGAAAGGTTTCTAAAACATCATGACATGCTATATATAGAAATTAAAGCAGTCAGGGGAATTATTTTTTTTCCTGTAAATATAATGGAGCATAATACAATATTGCTTACACATGTACAGTCTAGATCTGTGTAGGACACAGTGGGTGCACAGACCTAAATAATAATCATCAATGTATCAAGTGGAAAATCAATGTGTTTATTCATATATAAGGTCTAAAAAACATGTTTGTGTCTGGTTTCAATACTGAACCTAACTTTTGGTATTAACCTATCGGAACTTTCTTAGCCAATTTTAGACAAGCACTGTTAAAATCAAGATCTTCATTCTATATAATATAAAGTTATACAAAAAAAATGTAATAAAACAAAAATATTCCTCTGTCTACGAAACCCCCCCACAGTTTTTAGAAGATGAAACCAGAAGCACAAAATTATTTTTTAGACCTTTTAAGAAAATGTAACAAACACTTTTCAAAAGTTATTATCAGAACACAGAAGATTTTTTCCTATGGCAAGCGGAAGACAATTTTAAGAAAAAAAGCTGGCAGTGAAAAGTTTGTTAGGTAAATGCAATTGCAAAGGCGTAATAATTGTTAAAGAGAATTGAATATCAACAACTAACACCGATCCTGAAGAATACTACATATGTACCATACATCAAGTGTGACTGCATTGATCCTCTTCCTTCCTTGTTGCTTTAAGATGACACATCTATTTCTAAAATTTATTAAGAATCCATGTCCACATAGATTGAGCTGTGAAAATGTAGTTCAATCAGTTCCAGTGGCAGACAAAATCAAGGCTGGTTCTGGAGGCTTTGGATGTTTTAGAACTTCTCTTAAATTTATACGTTAAGTTATTTAAAATACTGAGACCAAACCCTACAATCAGCCCCACACCTACTTTTCTTTCAAGTTTTCTGCAAGAAACAAATCCACATTTTAATTTCTTTACTTGGGAAAATTTTTCCCTGAACACATCAATGGAGCCCACACTCCGATATTGAAGTTTGTTAAATGCATTTTCAACTATCTATTACCCTTTCCAGCACCTATCTCAACCCCTCCTAAAAACCATTTTCATAAAAACCCTTCACTACCACAACTCTATAAACCTTCCTCTCGTAGCCCTTTGCCATCCAATCCCTAACAACATGTTCAGCCTGTACCTACAAACAAAATAGCATTCATATTTATTACAGAGCTGACCTCCTCTCCTTGATAACTCTTTCTCACCCATTCCCATGGATCACCCTCTAAGGACAATCCCAGCTTATCACATCACAGACTCCTTTTTCACGATAACTATTTCTCATCCAACCCTGCTGCCCACCACCTCTAAAATATCACGGCACTGACTAGTACTTTTCAGCGACCCTTTTTCGTCCTCCAATATCTACCACATGGGAAATACCGTCCCTGTTTATCCCCACACTGACTAGTAACCCTCCTCAGTAACCATTTCTCACATATCCCTATCTACCTTCATACCTACATTGCATTGTATCTGAACCCGTGCCCAGCCCTACCTACTAGCACCAGTGCTGGTGGCACTTTCCCAACCCCATCCCTACCTACTAGTTCTGCCAATTCAGCCCTCACCAACACCTGCCTATCACTTTCAGGATAACCCACCTCCACACTACTTACTATAGCTACTAACAGATTTTACCTACCTGCCTTACTATAAGTTTTTAATAATCCTTCCACATCCAAACCCCCACCCCCAAATCTCCTTCACTCAACTCATTCTGCTATGTTCCCATATGTAGGTGACTCGTGGGGCAGGGCCATCCTACGTGGATAAAAAGTATGGTCGACAGGGTATTCTAGTAGGTTCACGACACCGGACATGTAGAGGTCAGCGAAGCGAGCCAGTCTGCGGGAGAAGTAAGTCGGGTTGTGGTACGTCCGAAATATACTGCCAAATCCTGGGTTAAATAGGCTCTTTGTGAAGTTTCTGCAAACATGGAAACATAAAAAGTTATTTATTGAAGAGAAAGGGAGTGTCTGATAGCTTTATATCTCACATGAACCCTGAACTCATTTACACCTGAAATTTCATAATGAACTATTCCTACCATTGATTTGGACGAGTTCAAATGTGTCGGCAGGGGTGAATGAGTTGAACAACTTGTATGTATACATTGTATACAGGAAAGTCTGTCTACAGGTACCCATCATTTCCTTCAGAACAGACTTCCAGATTATATACAGACAACCAGAGCTTTGCTTTGTGAACAAAACAATATGTCTCCCCTTATCAGCCAATAATTAGATTTGCTCCGTATTTATTTGACCTTTAATCTAGAAAAGAAGGTCACAGAGACCTATACATTGTTCACTGCAAACCATATGTAGGTTATGCAGGTATCCTTTAAATTTCATCATTTTTTTTTCGATGGTTTGTAAGTTATTGCAAAGTATCATTGCGTTCTGTTTTTCATATGGACATAATTTAATCTTGCTTGTAACAAGCATTTTCATTGGCTTAAAAATTTATGTTATCAGCTCATAAGGTAAAAAAATGATGTCACCGTTTGTAACGTCGCTTTTGATTGGCTGATACAGCGGCGTAATAATTTTCTTTGAGAAAAGAGTCCATCAATAAAAGGGGATTTCCACAGGGATTGTGTATAGTAGATTAAATTATAAGGATTAACTTGGATATATTTTTTATGTTATGGAGCTATAACACAAAAAAGGGGAGTGTACTCTAAATAAACCGTGAAGCGGTTTATGATGAGAGTACACTCCCAATTTTTTGTGTTATATCTCCATAACATAAAAAATGTATTCAAGTTAATCCTTAATTAATGTACTCAAATCAGTCATGATTTTATACTGATAGGTGCAAACATATAGGTGGACATAGCGAAAAAAAGATAAAGGTAAGACAGAAAAGAAGATGCAGAGGTGCAAGGTGCGACAATGGGGTCAGCAGATCAATTTTAGTCTCTCTAACCTCCATTGCCCTCGAAGACACTCGATACTGAAGGGGGCTCATCACATCAGTTGTCTCGTATGATACCACACAGCAGGTCTATCCTACGTATCTCCAATGTCTCCTATACACTAGGGGTGTCACGATACGCCAAGAGTGTATCACAATATATATTGCAATACATAATGAATATATTGTGATACGTATCCCGATATATCGTCATAGGAAAGATGTGCTCGATATTTTATAAGTTGTTATTAGAATGTTATTTAACTTAATCATATATAATATGGATCACATAGATTGAAGATTTTTGTCAAACCAACCATTGATTACAAAGTTTTAACTATTAAAAGTCTGTTTTATGCTTATTGGCATATCTGTTAGAATTTGTAGTAATTTGCAAAGTTAAAACACCAAGCAGAATGAGAAACATAAAATAAGGTTTTAAAAATATATTGCGATACAGCAATATTTCATCTCTGTATTGTGGTACGATATGATATACCTGTTTTCTGATATATTGTGACAGCCCTACTTTACACACAGAGGACACAGAGGAAACCCCTTAACTCCCCAGAGAGGCCCTTCAAAGAATCATGTAGTGGGATACAACAGGCCAACTGCACTGATTCTTCTCATTAAGGTAATATAGTTATAACTAGTGAAAGCTCTCACAATGTTAGTATACAGTTAAAGTATGGTTATTAGGGATATACCAAGTTTCTGGTTCCCCACGACCAGGGCTATTTCCCGAGGTGATAAGAATGTTGCTGTCTAAATTTGGAGCCCCGCCTCCCTCGATGCTGATTGGTCGATAACTTGATCAAGCCACCCCCATCCTCTTAACTAATTCACTGGGTCTTAGTTCTCCCAGCTAATGTACCCTTTTTGTGAACTAATTCCCTAATGTGGTGATTTCAAGGAAATAGCCAATTCTATGGTATTACTTTTATATAGTGTACAATAAGTAGAGGTATGATAATACAACATATGACCTACCTAATCTCATCTCTTTCTTGAAGCCAAATGTGCAAGATTTCCTTGACTTCTGGGCACTGGTCAACCTGGTAGCGAAAAAAAACCCCAAAAAATATCAAACAATTGTCAATCTGTATAAATCAAGGAAATTTCTCTGGTGATATACAATGATCAGGGAATTGCATTATTTGAAATTCATTTTGCTAGCAGTTGTCATTTTTACGCTTGTCAGAAATAGGGTCGTTCCAACTTACATAAATACAATCCACATGGAACCCGCCAATCAGTTTAGCTGAAGGCTTTATTAAACGTGTGTCATAAGGAAAATCTTATAACCGAAACAAGGACGTAAAGCCCCATCAATCAATCAAGAAAATCTATGTAACGGCTTTATTACAATGTATGATAAATATATAGTCACTAAAGCATATCCCCTTTTGTGAGACAGAAGATTCTTTTCTGAAGAGATGAAGCAGCAAGAACTTTAAAAGTGATAAAATATTCTTGCAACAAAACAGATGTGAGTGGAGACTATCAGTAGATTGCCACCCTTCTAGTTTGTAACACTATTTCTGATTGGATATCTTGCCAGGGTCTATAATTCTATAGACCCCGCTCTGCCGGGGTCTATAAAAGCATGTGCGAGGGGAGATAACTCAAAGTAGAATCTCTCTTCATAACAACGAAGATGGCGTGAGGGTGCCGGTAGGGTGCCTATTGCAAAGATGGTTGTGTATTGTGCGAAATATTGCCGAAAAGATATTTGGTAGGGCTATTTTTGTAGCAGTCAAGCTCAAACTCACAAAGTGCCTTATAATTTTGCAGGATGACAAACTCATTATCTCTGGGTTTAGGAGGGGTCTACTGACTCTACTGGCTCACAGACCCCTTTGGTCTTTATAGACCCTGAGCCAAAGGCAAGGGGTCTATAAAGAACAGACGGGGTCTATGAGCCCGTAGACCCCTTCCTACCCAGAGATAGGGTATAATATCTTCTTATGTACAACATACCTGTATTTCTTCTATCAGGTCCTGAAGCACACACAGCCATCTCACAGCCGCCTGGAAATCCTCTGAATTCGACTTGCCTATCTCTGTCTGGATAAACATTCATTTCATTTCAATAACAGATAAAACATCAAATTTAACATAGACAAGCTATTATTTCACCAATGTCTGCCCAAATATTTTCTACACAACTATTTCCAATTCTAGTTTAGTGTCCTCCACACTTTGAGTTGAACCTGTCTGTCCTGTGCCTGCTAGCACATGGAGACACCTGAGTACCAGTGCTGCAAAAATCTTAAACCACAAAGTAATGTTTACAGGTCCGTATTATAAACTAAACATACATCTAATATGTTACCCTGCCTAAACAAAAGAATTTATTATTAAATTTATTGTAACAACATCAAAAACAAAATTTCATTTTTTTATTGAATAATGATTTCAGTTGTTAGAGATGCATGTGTTAAAGTATAGCTGATTTTTTTTTACCTCCAGTTCCGGAATAATTGCACCTGTTTTCCATCCATGCTTCAGAGATGGGTCCTACAAAACATATTATACAATCATACCACATTGTAACGAAATATATGTTAATTAATATATGTTAATATATTGATAAATGTTGATATGGTGATTTTAATGTGCAAACACAGCACAGGGTGGAAATGATTTTAGTGTAGTATCTAAAATAATAATACAAAGGAGGCACGATAGTCTAGTGGTAGGATGCCGGGCTCCCATCCTGTGTTGTATCTTTGAGCAAGATTCTTTACTTTGCTTGTTCCAGTCTACTCAGCTCTTAATGAGGACGTGGTTGAGCAGTGCTAGAATTGTAGAATGCTAGCTGTGAGTGCCGAAATAGCAGCACCGGCTGTATATGCTCCCCAGGGAGTTGAGACAGATATTGGCTGGTTGCCAAGGCCCTATAACCTCGGATAACTAGAACACTGACAGGTCAGTAAGGGCCCCGTCTTGTGGCAATATATCCCCCATAATCATCAAGAAGCGATCTGCCCATATAGCTGAGCTTGACGTTTGACATTTGGACTTCAAAAAGAATCGCAAGGAAGCAAAATATACATTTTACATGTACTATGATGGGAGTCTAGTTTCCTTCCACCTCCATATTTGCTGGGCTAACAGAAATGTAAATACCAGCGCAACACTCATTTGTTATCTTTGATTTGTTTTATTTCATCTTATATACCTCTTCCATCAAGAGCCAGGGTCAAAGTCAGAGATCCACTTTGTCTTTGACCTTTGGACCCAAATGACCTTGACCATTAACCCAGTGACCCTGATCTTTGGTCAGTTGACTTATTCTTTAATTCAGACCAACTTTGCTTCTTAATATCATAACAAAATGTTCATCAGTGAAAAATACAAAACTTGACCTTGACCCTTTGAGCCCCGTGACCTGGACCTAAGGTCAGTTGACTCTGTGTTAAGTTCTGAACAACATTGCTTCATAATGTTATAACAAAATGTTCATCAGGGAAAAGAGGCAAAATTTGACCTTGACCTTTGAATCTCATGACCTTAACCTTTGACCTCAATTTTTTCCTCAGTTTGTCTCTTTGTTTAATTCAGAACAAGTTTGCTTCATAATGTCATAGCGAAATTTTCGACTGTGAAAAGCTACAAAATTTGACCTTGACCCCTGACCCGTTGACCTTGACCTTATGTCAGTTGACTCCTTGTTTAATTCTGATCAACTTTGCTTCATAATGTCATAACAAAATGTTCATCAGTGAAAATATGTAAAAATTTGACCTTGACCTTTGAACCTTATGACCTTGACCTTTGACCTTGACTTTTTACCTTAATGTGTATTTTTGTGAACTGAACATCTTGACCAAGTTTCATGTACATCGGTTCATAGATACCAAATTTGTGGACGGACGGACAGACAGACAGACAGACAGACAGAGTGATTACTATAGGGCACCCGTATCTCCGATACGGGGCCCTCATAATTTGTGAACCGCTTTGAGACAACCTAAGCAGAAGGTTGAAATAAAGCGGTATATAAGAACCTCAAATTATTATTATAATTATTAAATTCTTCTTTTTTTTTCATTGTTAATTTCAATTTTAATTAAAGATGCAAGATTTTCCAAGCATCTATTTTTAAAATGTTGAAACCAATGAAAGTTATAAATGATCTATATGATTAGCGATCTTCACATGCTTCCAGTAGACCCTTTTCTTCCATAACATACTAAAATGTCAAGCATAACCACCTTTTTTTATTAGCAAACTCCTGATTTTAATTTCTGATCTGAATGGAGAATTGCTGTCAAACTTTATATCACAATGCAATATACCTCGGTACTGTTGTTAAGTATTGCATATTTTTTTTATCATAATCAAGTATACACCACAGCAAAAACCAAACAGATTAACTTTCAAAAATGTTCAGATGGAGAAAATGAAAATAACAGTAATAGAAATATTTTTGATAATAACGAAAGCAAGATTAAGGAAATATACTTAAGTCAAAAGTAACAATTTGAGGTAAAAAATATGACAGCCGACACCCCAAAAATTGGATGGTTCAACGGTTTGTGGTAACATCCATTTTACTGAAGTCTTTCTGGTGTGTCACATGGATTTGAAGTATTGGGAGAAAATATTTCTGTACCAATCAACAGACGGACATTATATTTGGCAAACAAAGCAATGATAATCCAGCAAGTAATCTCTTCTACTTATACCTACTGCTAAATCACTGTAAACATGGTCTCCAAAATACAGCACCTTAGCCCCATGCCAGTCTGTCATCTGTCTAAAAAAATTAAAGTTCCCCTGAAAAAAGATAAATATTGAAAGTAAATAAGAAATCAGTATCTGAACAGAAAAATGAATAATTATGTGGGAAAAAAATCCTGAAAAATAACAATCAACCTTATTTGTGTCCACAAACAATATTTCAATATCTGTGTGAACACATGTAAACATCATTTTAGATCTTTTCATTTTACAACGAATAAAAGGGCCCTGTTGTTTTTATATTGAGAAATACCAATTGACACATTTCAATCGCATTTTTGATATGTGAAATTATAGATATACACCAGTATTCAAATTTTCAAACATTCCGTGTAAACAGCAGTATATCTTCAAAATTTCCTTATCAACCTAACTTACCTCTTGGTAAACTTGATCTTTACGTAAACGAGAGACTCTGTCCCAGTATTGAAGCTTTTTACACGGATCATAAATTCTGAATGGTCTGAAAGAGAGTGACACACCAAATTGTATAATTTATAGTATTATCATTTCATTATAAGACATCCTCTCTCTGGTCCCCATGTGCTATGCAAGAGTTTCACTGTACTTCATTTATTGGGAAAAAGTAACACCCAGGTATTTATGGCATTGTTTAATTTTGAATTTTACAACTGCATAATTAAAAATTACATCAATTACAAATTAAACTTCACACGGCCTGCGAGGGCCGTGCCGTATTATTGTTTGAATATTTCTTCCATTTTAGTCAAGCTGAAGCTGCAATGATCACTTTGGTTTTTGTTCTATTGGTTAAAAGCCAACCACAAGTTTGTAATACAACAAATACCATTCATCACTTAGTAGCAACAAAATCTTACCAGAAAAAAAGTTATACACCAAAAGGTCTCAGCCAATCAGAAGCCTCAAATAATTTTGTGACATTCTTTATAGTTGGGTTTCCATGTTACATAACTCAATCACATTAAACACTGATTGACTTCATACCTTGATGACTCGTTGAAGAACTTTGGTTTCCTTGCGTTACATACAATGACTTCAAACAGGTCCATCCACTCATCTCCTATCAGGTACTTCATCCCAGCATTCCTGTAAGACAAATACGTTATATACATTTACACCTACTTACCCTGGACATTGATGCGACCAGGAAACAGTCTGTGTTCTTCTAAGAGGGGTTTAGTTTTTAGAATATCGTGCCACTGTTTTACTTATTCAAGATTGAGTCCCCAAAACTTCATTGATTCAATGATGAATGTTATATATTGTCAATTATTTAATTCCTGCATGTCTCCAACAACTTGTTCACAGAGATCTGATTTTCCAACTATATCATTGTATGTATTTACAAGAGCACTGTTAAGCATTTAGATTCCTGCATACAGTTCAGAGCTGTAGTTCTACAGGTATGTTCTCAGCAGGACTGCAAACAAATCCAACTAGATGAGGGAAAAATGCTGCTTTACAGACAAGCTGGCTCTTACAGCAATGCAGTATTTCCTGGGATGTGCTGAATAGTTCAGCAACATTAACCCTTTCACCCCTAGGTAACTTGAGTAGACTCTACCATACATTCATCTGGATGAGTCCATTACGGTCTACAGTGGTGAAAGGGTTAAGCATGGTCAGTGGNTATAGGACAGCGGGAATGGGGCCTTGTCTTGTACTCCATCATCAAATGAACAATTACATCAGAGATGATTATGTCTACATATTGTGACAAGTTTATGTAAGGTAAATGTACTCACACAAAGGGGAAGCCACTGTTGGTGATGAGAAATAGCTTTTTGTTGGAGTCGATGAGACGGTTAAGTACTTGTGCTATTTCAGGCCCTCGCTCCAGGTACTTAGCTGAAAGAAAAATTGTTATCCTACAGTCAGAAAGCTAAATGTACATGTCTTCCCAACAACCAAAAGGCTACATAATGACTAGGACTGCAATAAAAAGTTGTGATTTATCATATCACAATATATCAGTTCACAATACAAGAATTAATATATCATTTATCTGTCACAACAGATTTTTAATGATATTTTCCGTTTATTTGTGCAATAAATGTATTACTATTTTAATTTCTTTATTTAAATCTACCTTCAGATGGTTGCTAGAATGTAATCTCTGAGCATCTACTGTTTGTGCTTAGACTCATTTTTTTGTATCTATATATTTTTATAGTTAAATACATCAATGACAGGGTCTAAAGATAATACGGTAATGGCTCCAGAGCCATTGTTTACAGCACCATGCTGACTTGTGACAACCTGATTGTAATTCCACCAAGTTGCATAGACTGAAGACTTGTTAAGTTTATTGTAAAGCTGATGTTCTTTAGCACAACACAATGTATTTATTAACATAGTATTTCACATTTTACTCGCTTATTGTCAGTAAATCTAGTTTTCATCCCTTAATATCTATTATAAGTGACAATTGATCCTTTATTCATGACATTGTCTCATTAAGCCCATTAATTTTACATACTTTTCCAAACAATTCATATAGTTTACCCATTCACAAAAGTTACGAAATAAAACTGTGTAGGCATGCACGGTAATGTCATCCTGTATTTAATACTGTACTGTTTTCTAAATCCTACTTAGATAGTAACATTCATGTCAATATGATGATATATAACTCTACTTCTTACCTAGGTCTTCCATTATTTTTGCATGTAGAATTCCAGACATGTGAACACCCTGAACAGCTGACTGTAAAGTAAACAAAATAGTCACTCATCATTAGGAATACTAAATGGATTTATTTTTTTTGGTAAATAAATTACACATTCTACCTTTTTATTGAAAGTATTTGACTTAAAAGATCACCAGTTCTGACCTTAGTTTGAACAAAGAATGGCGCTAGTCTGTAAAAAACATTTCCAATCTTTAACACAGTTCATTTCAAAGACACAAGAGTTTGATGTAAAGATTAGTAAGAGACAGTCTAGTGCTTTTTGATTTGATTTCCTGTCGATGTCGATCCCCTTCTCATGCTTCTGTCAGTGCAGCGTGCTTGTTATGTTCATACAATGTAATTTTTACCAGTACATGTACATGTATGTGATTTCAGCTACCTATTTCACCTGAAATAGTTTATAACAAATTTCTTTTGTCAAGTTTTCATAAACACATGCAGCACCACTAGACAGAAACTTACCCTCACATCATAAAACACATACTCTGGATCATAAGGGATTTCCTTCTGCATAAAAAACTGAAGCAGACAAATTAAAATGCATTAATGATTACGTCACCTATATGCAAGAAAGATAACTCACTAATTGAACTCTCATATAGTGTTATTTGTATAGTAAAATCTAGATCTAAAGCTAATGTGATTTAGCAGTAAGTGTTGTTATTTTAAAAAAAAAAATGGATCAAACATTTTTATTTACACATTTCACAACTCGGAATTTTGCATATTTCAAAATCTCGCACCAAAATAATATATACATCAAGTGAAAGGTACATGTATGTTACTTGTTTAAATTGATGTACAGTATATATAAAGATCATTCCAAATAACTCGCCACCACTTCAGTGATGGGTCATTTTTCAATTGATTCCGTATTGAAAGTCTTATAAAAATGTTCAGTTTGCTTTAATTCAGCCTATTAAAATCATTTTTTGACCCAAAAGGTCCATGTATATAAGCATTCCCTTACACAAATAACTAAAACAACTCGTACAATTTTCATTGTAAACAACTTGGTAAAAGACTAAAGGATCTGTACAGATTGTGAACTTACCTCAGTAACATCAGCAAGAAGTGTCATCTCGGGAACAGCAAACAGGTCAACAAGCTGATGCATGGGGCCCTAAAACATCAGCGGATTAAAAACACCCAGTTGAATGTCATATCAAGTCAGGAAAATTTGATTTGTTCGCTTGTGGTAAAACTTTATTAAAACATTGTATGAACACATTGGTCTCTACAGTGTAGGACTCCATCATCCATAGAATAAAGTTCATCAAAATAATCTAGTCTAGTTGTAGTTAGTGTAAAGAGTAATGGAGTCCTACACTGTAGAGACCAATGTGTTCATACAATGTTTTAATAAAGTGAACTATATTATTTTGAAATGTTACAAACAGCAATCTGCAGCCTGTTGAGATAAAATAAATGACCAAGTGTAATTGAGACAATGTTTATGTTCAATTATAGAGTTTCCTGTTGTCCTGTAGTTTAGAGATATAAAATTAATTGCTGGCTGTCATGATCAGTGCACCGGTGCTGGCCATAGAATTAATTGTCTTATGTCAGATAAGGCTTAGTATATGACCTGTCGGGGTCAGGGGATGATGACCTGTATTTCCTGCCTATTTGCACCTGATAATGATGTGATATGATATTACACTGTATCTATGTTATTTGGCAGTCCTAGATGAGGCCTTTGAGCTAGGCACACGTCTATGTTAACCCTTGAGGACTAACGCAACAGTTAACACAACGATTAGTGTTCATTATTTGAATCCGAGAGACTTGGAGGGTAACACAGCCGTACTAAAATCTAGTACAAGTACCATTTAGGACAAATAAGGATTGATCTTTTAGAATACTTATGATGGTATGCAATACAGTTCTGATAAAACACTTTCCATGATAACACATCTTGGTAAATGGTAGGTTTACTTTATGCAGAAAGGAAATGTAAATATGAAGATTTAATTTAATTTACGTTTCCTTTAAAACACAATGGGTACACCATTAAACATGGTCAAGCTGTAGAAAGTATGTGAGAGGTAGTGTGTGTGTGTATAGAAAGACAATGAATACACTTTTTTTCTCACAAAAAGTGCAGAAATAGAAAAGATGATGATCCCAAGCATTCTTTAATGTCCCTAAGCAGACGACATTAAAAAAATAAAGAATTTATTTCAACTCACGGTTCCATAGAAAGTGTTCATATCTTTGAGACCGACGTGGGTTCCATTGTAATAGGCTTTCACTTCACTGTCTGGCACCTGCTGCAGTCCTCTGGTAAACATCAACACACAAATTGTCATGTACATTAAATAGATCATGTGAAGACTGAACATGTTGGTTTATTTTTAATACATTGAAACAAAACCCAAAAACAACAAGAGGCCCAATGGGCCTGCATTGCTCAGCTGGTCTAAATCTTGTAACCTTAAGAGTGATCTAAAATAAAACTACAGGCAAAATATCAGTATTTATGACTATAAGTCATTTAAAAGAACCTGATAAAAGATTTAAAAATCATTTCACCCCTGTGACCTTAAAAGTCCAATAAGGTCGTAATTATTACGCTGAACAAATTTTACAGCCCCTCATCTCAGGTTGCAACGTTCAAAATAACACCACCCTATCCTTGTGTTTATTAAGATAAGGTCATTTAAATGTTTACACATATTTGACCAAATGTGACCTTGAAAGTGGGTCAAGGTTATTCAAATTAAAATACTTGATAGGTTTTCATCCAAGCATGCTACTTGCTAAATATCATCATCCTGCACATTTTGGTTATTCAGAAGAAGTTGTTTAAAAGTTTCAAACATATTTGACCCCTGTAACCTTAAATATAAGTCAAAGTCATTCATTTAAACAAACTTTGTAGCCCTTCATCCTAGTCTGCTACTGACCAAATATCAACATCCTGGGCATTTTGGTTATTCAGAAGAAGTTGTTTAAAGGTGGTTTTTAGACATTTGACCCCTGTGACCTTGAATATGAGTAAAGGTCATTCATTTGCACAAACTGTAAAGCTATTCATCCCAGCATGCTACTGACCAAATATCATCACCCTGGGTAATTTGGTTATTCAGAAGAAGCTGTTTTAAGATTTTGAACATATTCAATCCCTGTGACCTTGAATGAACGTCAAAGTCACTCATTTGAACAAACTTGGTAGCCCTTCATTTCACCATGCTATGGGTCAAATATCATCATCCTGTACCTTTTGGTTATTCAGAAGAAGTTGTTTAAAGTTCTTTTTAGACATTTGACCCATGTGACCTTGAATATAAAAGAAGGTCATTCATTTGAACAAACTTTGTAGCCCTTCATCCCAGCATGCTTCTGGCCAAATATCACCATATTGGTCCTTTTGGTTATTCAGAAGAAGTTGTTTAAAAAACCTTTAAGACAATTGACCCCTGTGACCTTGAATATGAGTGAAGGTCATTCATTTGAACAAACTTGGTAGCCCTTCATCCCAGCATGCTACTGGCCAAATATCCAATCTGATTAAAATCATATGTTACATGGCTTCGTTAACTTCGTACTACGCCTGAACATCTGAGTGTGCCGCGGTCAGGGTCACATTCAGGTGACCTTTATATTTATAAATACTCATCAAATTTTGACCAATCAGAGACCCTCTTTCAAATGGGCGCTCGGAGTTGTAACAAATATGACGGACATTGATGAGAATGACGCGAAAGTTCTGAAGTTATTTGAGATTGATCATCTGAAACCCTAACAGAAAAAGATATTCGAGGCTTTATTAGAGAAGAAAGACTGTATGGCGGTGTTGCATACGCAAGTATTACCCAATGGGTACGTTTTTCTTGGCATCGTAGGAACGTCAGTTCCCGCCACCATAATTGTTTTGGAAAACTAATCTGTTTGATACCCCTCGCTATTTATCTATCAACCATGATATTCCGATTCGCTGGCAAGGTTCATCTAAAGGTCACTTGAATGTGAGCCTGACCGGGACACATTCAGATGTTCAGGCGGAGCCATGTAACAGATGATTTTAATCAGATTGGCCAAATATCATCACCCTGGGCATTTCGGTTATTCAGAAGAAGTTGTTTAAAGTTCTTTTTAGACATTTGACCCATGTGACCTTGAATATAAAAGAAGGTCATTCATTTGAACAAACTTTGTAGCCCTTCATCCCAGCATGCTTCTGGCCAAATATCACCATATTGGTCCTTTTGGTTATTCAGAAGAAGTTGTTTAAAAAACCTTTAAGACAATTGACCCCTGTGACCTTGAATATGAGTGAAGGTCATTCATTTGAACAAACTTGGTAGCCCTTCATCCCAGCATGCTACTGGCCAAATATCCAATCTGATTAAAATCATATGTTACATGGCTTCGTTAACTTCGTACTACGCCTGAACATCTGAGTGTGCCGCGGTCAGGGTCACATTCAGGTGACCTTTATATTTATAAATACTCATCAAATTTTGACCAATCAGAGACCCTCTTTCAAATGGGCGCTCGGAGTTGTAACAAATATGACGGACATTGATGAGAATGACGCGAAAGTTCTGAAGTTATTTGAGATTGATCATCTGAAACCCTAACAGAAAAAGATATTCGAGGCTTTATTAGAGAAGAAAGACTGTATGGCGGTGTTGCATACGCAAGTATTACCCAATGGGTACGTTTTTCTTGGCATCGTAGGAACGTCAGTTCCCGCCACCATAATTGTTTTGGAAAACTAATCTGTTTGATACCCCTCGCTATTTATCTATCAACCATGATATTCCGATTCGCTGGCAAGGTTCATCTAAAGGTCACTTGAATGTGAGCCTGACCGGGACACATTCAGATGTTCAGGCGGAGCCATGTAACAGATGATTTTAATCAGATTGGCCAAATATCATCACCCTGGGCATTTCGGTTATTCAGAAGAAGTTGTTTAAAGTTCTTTTTAGACATTTGACCCATGTGACCTTGAATATAAAAGAAGGTCATTCATTTGAACAAACTTTGTAGCCCTTCATCCCAGCATGCTTCTGGCCAAATATCACCATATTGGTCCTTTTGGTTATTCAGAAGAAGTTGTTTAAAAAACCTTTAAGACAATTGACCCCTGTGACCTTGAATATGAGTGAAGGTCATTCATTTGAACAAACTTGGTAGCCCTTTATCCCAGCATGCTACTGGCCAAATATCATCACCCTGGGCATTTCGGTTATTCAGAAGAAATCGTTTAACAGTAAAATATTGACGCTGGACAGACGCCGCACCATCCCACTAGCCCTTCGGGCCAGGTGAGCTAAAAAAAGCATATTTTCCTTAACATCATGTGTAATTTGTCAGTGGAAAATGTGATGCATGTAAAATTACACACCCTCTGATTTCAAAAGTAAACTAGACTATTAGAGTCACACAGGTGGAACAATATCAGCTATCACATGTCATGTAGCATTATTTAAATTCATTTTAAAATGAACAATGATACTTAGAACCTTTCTGCTATGTTAAAATTGGAAAACATACTAATTAAGTTTACTTCATTAACAAAAGGAATAAGTCAGGGTGCTCTTATTTGAGTTTACCTCTTAAATCAATCTTCTGTTTAAGTATTACTTAAAGTGTTTGCCAATCTTTCAAATCATCATAAAGAAATATATATTTAAAAGATAAACAAAGGGTCATGCATCTACAGTGAGACCAAAATGAAATATACAACATTCCACCTTCTCTAGATATGCAAGTAGCTAGTTTGTTGAATTTAAGTGAATTGGCAAGACATTGATGCTTTGGGCAAGTATTGGTATGAAAAATGAACAAAGGGCTGTAACTCTGTATTTAATTGGAGTCAATGTCTACATTTCGTAAACATTATTCAGCCTCCCAAAGATACACAACTTTAGTTGATTTAATGAATTAAGTTGGAATAGCAATCAAGTTGTACTCTTGACAAAACAGATGGTCACATAAAAATGACGATGAAAAAGACAGTCCACTTTAAAGAAAGGGAGAATTGGCAAGTACATGTTTGAAAGTATTTTTGGGTCCACTATTAACTAAATTGGAATTAAGAAAGTTTCCAGGTGTTATGAAATAGTACCACTTTTCTTCAAATACATTTAAGAAGGAATTATTATTACAGACACCTCAATAAAATGTCACACTAATGACTATTTACCTGAACACTGTACCAAGCTGTATGTTGTGGAAGGAGTCAAGTTTCATCATTAGGCCCTGTGTGAATGAAAGACAAGTTAAAGATAAAGAAGAAACTGAGACAGACTTTTGATTCGTTTAAAAAAAGCACACCGAACTGTTGGTGAAATTGTAATTTTATCTAGTACCATACTTAAGTAAAATTTTAACTAAATACATAAAAAATATAAAATACATAGTTAATCAGCAACATTTTTTGTATGAGAAAGGGATACATATATAACTCTGAAAAAAAGTTTTGATATTGAAATATATTTCATTTAATAACTACCTTCAGGCTTGTGTATATTCTTATAAAGAATATCGTTTCAACAATCCATGGCATGCTGTAAATATTTTGGAAGTTTGGACAAACTTGTGTTCAGAAAGTACACACATCAATAAAAATCAGTGGGAATTATAATAAGATGATAATCTTATGGTAATAACAAATGTAAAGTTTATTTATTTTACAGCAATTGTGAAACAAGTTATTAAAACTTATACTAATCCTCCTGTTGGCCCGGGGTGTTAGTGCAGGGGGTCTGACCGTAGGAGAAAACTGGAGTACCCAAAGAAAACCCACGTGGTCGGGCAGGTGACCTAATACGTACCTTTTCACATCTGATCGAGGAGTCAAACCCTGACCGCGCCTTGGTAAAAGGCAAGTGCACTATCCACTGCGCCTACCGACCACACACACGTGTTTGTGACTTAACATATCTATTTATAGTGAAGCTCACCCTTTGAATGTCATAGTGAAGCCCACGGATAGCAAAGTCCTTCACATATTTGATGTTCATGATGGAATCTGGATACTGTAATGATAAAAAAGCAGCATCTAGATAGGATTTTTATAAATCATTTATCTGCATATCGTAATTATCAAAAGAAACATCTATGCAATACAAACTATATTACGTTACAACCATTAAAACACAAGTTTTTTCAAAGTTATATATTAATCTTTCTTGTAATAACGGATTGAAGCATGCAGGAGGTCTTAGAAAAACCCATCTTGGTACTGTCATCAGGTTTTATCAAATCAGATATTTAGATATTGCAATGAGTAAAATAAAGAGATATTTATATATGCTTGTTTTCAAATTAGATATATGAACTCTTTGACCCTAGAAGACTCATCAAATTTACGGTCATTATAATAAACTTTCATTTTGAACTTGTACAGTCCTGAGTGACCCTGCTCTGCATTGACCTACCCTGTATTTATTGACAAGACTCTCGCGACCCAGGTCATAGATGAGCTGATGCAAGGCTGGAGTGTACGAGGCCAATGTATAGTCATAATCAAATCCATAGACGTCAATGCTTTCAAGACCCGTCTCATTGTTGGCAAATATGGCTTTCGGATTAACCTGTCTGACTCCTGTAACATCTGAAACAATTCAAAAGGTCATGGTTTCATAGTGCTGAAATATGCCGACAGAACACCGACTTCCGTCAGTGAGATGAAACCCGTATGGGGGTACACGTGGAATCATGTACTACTCATGTAGGCGATAAACCCATCAACCAACCAACCAACCTAGTGCTGAAATTTGGTTACAACTATTTTACCCCTGAACTCGTACATTGTTACGAAGCCGTTTTGCCTGAATATAGATTTCCTTTGATAATCATGCAAACGAGGGGAATTGTACGTACTCAAAATGAGCTTTCCAATGATGGAAGATACTGTGAATACAGTACTGGTAGTGTGCGTTCACAGGGGCTTGTATAGACTTATATGACAAAATTAGTTAGAAATACCTACATATAGTGCTTATATATAGGTGCTGCCAGCTAATTTTATCATATAAGTTTATACAAGCATACAAAACCATGCAAGCCCCTGTGGTGCGTTTTAGTAGAAACCGGCTTTTTACCATGTGCTTTTTCTTTTTCCACTTGGTATCTCTGCAGCCAGTCATCTCGTTTGAGTTTGTGTTCGAAAGTTTTCACAGAACAGCTTCTTACGAGTGTCTTCTTAATTCCTTGTCGTGTGACTGCGATAGTTTTTGCAGTACCTAAAAATCGTCTGACTGTGTTGACATTCATGATTGACCGGCAAAAGGGGCGGCTACTCTATCCAATTTCCGGTAGCATTATAAAGAGGTTCAATGGGTCTGTATTGTTCACCCGTTGTATTAATGATGTCGGCAGAAGCATCACATATCAGTGCCCTTCAAAGTGAATTTAGATCAAATTTATTTAAGCAATACTTTTAGAAAATAAGTCCCATGGTCCCTAATTATGCATATCGAATTTTGTGACTGATCGGGAAACTTTATGAATATTACAAGTTAAACTCATTCACCCCTGCAGACACATTTGAACCCTTCCAATTCAAAGGTTGGAGTAGTTCATTATGAAACTTCAGGGGTGAATGAGTTAAAGTAGTAATTCAGTCAAAAACAAGATGGCCACACCTTTTTCTCTATTGTTTAAAAGTAACCAGGTATTATGGAAAATAAATTACTTAAAAAATCTTGTTGAAATTGCCATATAGCATAGAATAGGTTTCCATTTCAGATGATACAAGCATAGAAATTCTATCTCTCAAGTACTTCCTGATGTTGTTGATTAAGTTCAATTCAAACAGAACATAGGAAAGATCGATTGAGTGTATTGATCAACGGAAATAGAAAGTACATCCCTAGTTGAAAATCCAATGAAGGGAGACTTGCAGACTCACAATTTCTGCATATTCTAATGAGTCTAGAGTTGTGATGAATATTGTATGTTTATTATAGACAGAAAAGTGTTTTCTCAATATTTAAGTATTTCAAAGCAATCCAGGCATTAATTCAGTTGTTTTTTATCAATGAGTCACATGTGTCCATTTTTCTGTACTTCCGGAAACCGGCTACCTATTTCAGTACTGTGAAGTTTTTCAAGAATGTGTATATGGTTTTATTATAAAATGTCCATTTTTAATCGTTTATAGATAATTTATTTGACACAATTTCAGCCTTTATTAAATTGCTATACATTAATGCAATACTAATCTATGGCAGTATCATTTTTATTGACATTATTTTACAAAAAATTATGTCTTTCATTTTTTTCCTTCAAAATTCACTCATTTTTACATAAATTCAATGCATTCTACTGCAAGTCACAAAGCACTGATGTTTTCCCCTAGTTTTACAGCTGAATACGGGTGGCTTGCCCTTGCAAAACTGTGCTTTATTTGCCCAAAATGAAGATTAACTTCCTGATATCAATAATGCTATGTTTTCCCTAGTCATGTAAGAAAAGAAAAAAGAAAAGAAATCAGTAAGGTAGCATATCTCCTTAACTCTATTGCAAAATAGTGTGCAAGTTCTCCTTGAACGACTCACCTTGCTGTAGAATATTCATTAAACAAAAAAACAAACAGCTCAACTGAAACATCAGGATTTATTCTTGAAGATTTTTTAACAATCAATACTGTTAATAAATTGTTTCCATTTACAAATATAATTATAATCATGACATGTAATCAACATTCAAATTACAAATGATAACCATTCCCATTACCTCACATACATAATAAAGCGTTCATAACAAAGCATACATATCAGTTACAACACATTCAACACTCAATAAATTTGGAACCTGTTACATTATAAGTTGTCCTACGCCTTATTAGGGAGAGATAGTCTGCTACGTGAATTTAAATGATAGATTTCAAAAATAATAATTCCAACAAATAATTTAGTTATACTTCTGAAAATGAAATAATATTAAACCACTGAGGAGTCCACTGTCAAGTCCTGTAGAAATGCATGTTATTTAACTATAACAAAGAAAACTTGATTTCAATTCTTAAATATAATTATATCTGAACCTGGAAAGTGGGTGCTCAGCAGCACATTATAACTATATTGATGGCGGCTACCTATACCTAATCAAGGTAATTCTTGATGGCGGCTACCTATACCTAATCCAGGTAAATCTTGATGGCGGCTATCTTTATCTAATCTAGGTAAATCTTGATGGCGGCTACCTATATCTTATCCAGGTAAATCTTAATTCAGTTGTTTTTTATCAATGAGTCGTACATCTTGATGGCGGCTACCTATACCTAATCCAGGTAAAACTAACAAAATGTAATTTTAAACAGAGGTACTTGTATATTGACTAGCGATTTGAGTAACAATAGACAGTGGTAACGGATTTTGAAATAAAGGAAGATTCAAGACAGGTAAACATAATGTCAATTTTACTTGCTGAAGAAAATTACACAGAAATATTAACAGTGCATAAATTAGCATGTTTACAGTCAAAACGACAGATCTAGTGTAAGTGTCTCACGGTATTTGACATGATTGCCCAATCCTTTCCAATTGCTCTCTTTCCCTCTTTTGGTCCGAACGTCCTTTTCCTTCAACTAACTTAAAAACTGTCTGATATGGTTTCTGTTTGGCAAGTTCAGCAATAAAGCCAATTTTCCCATTTTGCTAAGTACCCAGACAATTACTGTGTGGTATATGTTAGCAGTTTGATTAATCATTCACGAGGATTTGAATTAGCAGAAAAAGAATAACTGACATTCATACCTTTATATCTGTTTGTATCCGATATTTGCAAATTATTTCGATCTGTTACAAATTCTTTTCAAATCGTTGTGAAAATATCCTCCTTGCGAAGTAAGAAATTCACAGCAACATGGGACTTAATTTAAGGAATAAATGAAGCTTTTGGGAGTTATGAATGTAGAATTTTACTCGAGCGAATGGAATGAATTACAATCATAATAATACAATGAACATGATGGAGAGACATAACACCGGGTCCACAAGCCTATATTGAGGATGGCAATCAGATGAATCTTGGACATTAAATATGAAAATTTACACTCGGAAGTTTGATTGACTAATAAGTTTATTATTGTGATAAATAAATGTATAGTCAGAAAACCCAAACACAATATTTTAGTTGATAGTTAATTTATCATGCTCCAAACTCCATAGTTTGGGGGAAAATTAAGTGCACAAATAAGTCACTGAAAGTTCACATAAAATTGTTTGGCCTCTGCCAAACTGATAATAGCATGCACACAGAACATAAATCTTATATGATATCACTGAGTTAAAGTGGCAAGATCATGTATCACAACTGATCACCTTGTCCATCCTGTATTTCTCATAGTATAGCCTACATGCAAATGGAAATTTAACAGTTTAACACTTTAGGATTACAAATAATTAAGGAGAAATGACATTAACTACATCTACAATTTAACAACAACAAACTTCTCTTTCAATATAACAATAATATAAAGAGAACATATTCAGTAAAAAAGAAAATATAATGATGCTTTAACTTATTCAGCTCTTACAGTTCAAAGGTTGGAATAGTTCATAATGAAATTTCAGGGGTGAATGAGTTAATAGATAGAGCTAAATTCATACATTTGTTGGGGTTTATTTAGTTAGTTTAGATAATAACTTTCAAGATTCTTGTTGCTTTCCTGAACAGTTGATATTCCATGGCCCTTTCGTGTATCCAGTTCAACCAGTTGAACCTGGATAGAAAACCACAGGAGCAGATTTGAACCAGGGCTGACCTCAGTAATATTTCCCACATGTAGATTGAGGGGTCCAGGCATACACAACAGAAACTAAAAGGCTCACAATTGCTTGTTTGCGGTATTTCTTTCTAAAGCATTTAAATGTTAAGCCACCGGTAGTTTTTAAGATACATTATGTCATTCAGTGAAAGTGTGAAAGAAGGGCATACTATTCTTTATATATCATACATGCCATAACTTTCCGGTGCAAAATAGTGAGATCAGTGATTACTTTTAGCGAAATTTGGTCAAAAATAGTGAGATTTTTTCTCTGAATTCGTGAGAAATTTGGAGACATTTAAAACATAAATTATATAGCATATTTCATAGTATTGAATCATTTGTGCTAATATTGTTATTTATTCTCCGAAACTGCATTTTTTAGCTCTGCCTTAATAGAACGATCAAAGTTCGTTCGTTTATTGTGGAATATTTCTGCGCCACCTGAACCGTTTCAACCGGGATACGAGAATGTAGCTCATGAATATAAAGGGAACACAATTCTCATATAGAGAACATCATAACATTTACTAACATCATTTTTCTTTCATTAACAGCAAATGATCAACTTAAATGATTTTTTTTAAAATATTATATATGAAAGGAAATTGTAATATTATCAAAAAACAAAATGTTACAATGAAAGAAAATATGACATTAGGTTAACTAAAATGTTATCCTTTTTTTCCAGGTAATATGGAGTAAGAAATGATCAGTTTCTGTACAATGAGATGCTGTATGGCACATGTACATGGTAAATTAATTATATAATAATACACAATGGAACCTTGTTAGTCTGGATACTTTAGATTTCTATAATATTATCTTTAATAATTGATTCTCCAGATTAATTCATTTGAAAAACAAAGAAAACATTCAATAATGCATGTAATTTTGCATATTGATTAATGAACATTTTTGGTTTCAAAACATTTGGTACATGAATCAGTTCCTGGAAAAAACTGTCCAGAGAACACTGTTTAAAAGCATATTTTTGTGATAATCGGAGTCTAGATGATCAACGGTCCACTGTACTCACCCGTATAAATTTCCGTGTCTAACTAACTGACTACAGAGAATATAGGAATCAAGGGAAACAATTTATTTAGTATTAACACAACCAAATCAATTACCAACAGAATACATAAATATAACAAAAAGGGGGATAACTAAAGCTTCATTTCTACTACCAACACTCCACTCCACAATATCACAAGCTCTTCACTTGACTTTGGAAACAAGGCACTTTGATGTCCTTTTAAGCATTCACATGGACATTGAATATTCACTGCATTGTTGTAATATGTATGTCTGTGAATTAAAATGAACATAAATTTGGGGTGTGAGTTAACACACCTTCAAAATTGAATTATAAACTTAGACACATGATTTTGATTAATGATATATAATATTCATATAAAATTTGTCTGTTTATGCATTATATTTAATTTAATGATAATATATATAACGCTTTAAAATTTTGGCCATGTGTATTCTATTGTAGTACGTGAAAGGATATGGTCTGGTGACCCAGTTTCCTTCAAACATTCATCCTAATTAATTGCCCAGTATCTAAACAAAGATTGCTCACTTATTTATCTTAACACACAATATGATTAACAAATTATCAGTTTTAAACAATTCCCTACAACTATAGATTAGAGCTATCAAGATTTTCCATTCATTCAGCACAATCTTACCAATTGTTTAGCGCTACAGGTCCGAGAAAACGTCACTCTTATCAACAACATTGTTAAACACAAGCACATTAATCACAATGTCACATTTCACATTTGAACCCCATAATTCTGAAAACACCGAAACAAACACACAGCATCTGTCATGATAATTTTTGTCATAAGTAAATACAAATGAATGCTTATTGAAATACTTCAAATATCTGTCAAATCAGAAAACATGTTTCAGAAAAATGCCTCTCCGAAAAAGATCAAAGTCTATTGACTGCTGTGTGTCAGCAGTATGTAAGTAGTAGTTGACAGTAAATGCAAATGAATAACTGGATTAAAACTAGATTATGGTCTGGAACTATACCCACACTGTGGCTACCTTCATGTCTTATCATCCAATATGTTAAGGGGAAAATATTTGTGTAAAAATTTTCACATTTTGATTTGCTCCAATTCCTCGTAATTTAGTTTAGGAGTTGGCAATGCTATGGTAGTTTATCCTGTCAATGATGTTTGTGTAGGCATTTTTCACTCAAATACAATGTATTAACTCATTCACCACTGAAATTTCATAATGAACTATTCCAACCTTTGAATTGGAAGAGTGCAAATGTGTCTTCAGGGGTGAATGTAATAAAACAAATGTGTAAAAGTGAAAAATTCCCAAACCACAAAAATTTGTATACAGAAAGTGCATGTGAAAATCCTCATTTGACAAACTCTTTGGTACCTGTAAAACAAGAGGTAATGTGTTTTGGTCTATCATGATGGTTTCTTACTATACGTAGACATTTTCACAGCCATTCATTTTTATAGCTATTGACTCTCACAGGTTTGAATATGAAACTATTGTTATGCATAGCTGTTGTTACATGTACAGCCAAACCTGTAGGAAGAGACCATCACTTCATGCAGGGTTTTTTCCACAATGAATTCACTACAAAATAATTATTTCAAGCGGTCTTTTAACACAGATGGCCCCTCATGAGGCTGGTGTCTTACTGTAGAAGGGTCCACTTGTATAAAACATCTCAACTCTTGAGATTTCCTCAAGTCTAAGATTTCCCATAGACTTGCTTGAGATTTTCCTTAACTTTGAGATGTTTTATACAAGTGGGCCCAGGTCTCTTAAATACAGGTTTATTTCACAATGGAATCACAACAATGGGCAACGTTAAAATTGGTCTCATAACACAGGTACCATAGTATCTTGGTAACTTAATGGTGGTGGTCCAATAAACAGGTTTGATGGTATAAAGACAGTCGGTTTAACCACTTTCTCATGAAGGAGATTTTCCCGTACTGTAGATGAATATGTTGCACCAGATTTTGAGACTCTCTTCCCCATTGACTTTTATAATGGACAAAATGTTTTGTAACTAATGTGTTTTTTTGGGGATTTAGATGATGAATAAGGCCATGGACAAGAATGTGAAAGTTCAGTGCAAATAAATAAAGAAGTTCCTCTGGAGAGGAGATCAAGGATCCAAAATTAACATCAATTCTGAAACGAGTTCTGGGGAATCCCCAGACATAAGGAAGTAAAATAATTCACTAAATATGGCTTAACAATTTAAACTAGACTAACAAAACCCAATTGAATAAGAATAAACAAATATAAAACACATTTCAAGGTTCAACTTTTGTGACCATTTTACAACTCCTAGATATACTCTCAAAGAAAGTAAATCACATATCAAATACTTTTATCACAAGTGATACATTAAAAGGTACAAACTGCTGCTGGAAAAGTTTTTATCACAACTGCAGGGTATGCTTGTTAAGTATTACTTTGTATAGACAAGTGACATCAATCCAGCGACCACATCTCTGCATTGTCTCATTGCACATGCTTAGTCAGTACTTTCGGAAACAGACTGCCATTTTTCCAATTACATTTCCCACATGGAATGACTTTCTTTTATATTAAGAGTTCTAGCCTACAGACACGTTTAGAAAATTCTACTACCCACCCTGTCATATATAATTTTCATGGCAAATATTGGTAGGCCTGAGTGTCAGGCTAGGAGATATTGTACATTAATCTAGAAACTTTACATTTTAACTTGGAAAGATGAGGGCTGAATTAATATGGCTTGGCTGTCTACCAACCTTTTCCCTTAACATATGATAGCAATGCACTGAAACTAGATAATGATAATGTTTCTATAGGACTACTCTCAACATTATAGGTGAGTGTTGATGTTATTTTCCTCTACGCTACCATTGGCCCCTTTAGGTAGTAGATGACTGGATTCCTCCTCTTCGTTGTCATCGTCCTCATCTTTGATTTTATTCTCTGCTAGTTGAACAGCTTGTGAATGTTCCTCAGCATCTGACACAACCAACAGAGGCTGAGACTCAAACATGGCTTCAGACTCGAGAGCACTTGGACTACAGATGCCACTTTCTTCCTCTACAACTGTATCATCTTCAGCATTTTCTTCAACTGATGCATCAATATGGTTCAGCTGAACTTCTTCCTTTTTCTCCTCATCGGAATCATCTGCAAAACTTATCTTACTAGTATCAAACACACTATCATCCAGTTGTAAATTGCTGCCGAGTTTATCCTCTTTGGACTTTCTTTCGTCGTCATGTACAGAGGCGAGACCAGGAATGATGGAAGAGATTTCAGCATGGTAACAGTCCCGTGCCACTTCCAGAAGGTGATCTGCTTCAGTCTTGCCTGTCTGTTGAACCATCCGGTAGAAATTGCCTTCTTCATTTTGTAAAAGTAGATATGGTTGGTCGAACTCCACAATATTGCCTTCATCAAGCACCTAATAACAAACAGTAAAACATTTATTTTACATTTCCTCTATCTGGGTATAGAAAGGACTGGAAATATTGGAGTTAAAGATACATGCCACCTTATTACTGTGACACAAATTCTTTCCAGAAGAGTTTTACACTAGGAATACTGTAAAATACCTTTTGTTACCGGTAACCTTTTTCGAACTGGGATTTATTAATTCATGATATACATATTGCAAAGTACAACGTAATATATCCAGTTATTATTAGATATTATTTAAGCATTGAACTGCTTTCAGTTGGCATTCATAGGCAATATGAATGCCAACTGGACAAAGGTAACTTCAATGAAGCCCGCTAGCACATGTTGGATTTGCCTTTGTAAAGTTGGAATTCATACTGCCTATGAATGCCAACTGAAGGCAGTTCAATACTTATATTTACCATTATTGGAATCTGTTCATCTCATAGAAAATTCAATTACACTTATCATTTAATATTTAATTCAAATAGTGTATGTAACGTGTATGCTTTTTCAATGAATAGAACAGCCATCACCAAGGGAGAGTCAGTGGTATCCAACTTTACAATTATGACGTCAACAAGCGGTCTATGGCATTCATAGCCTATAGGAATGCCAACTGAATTTGGTAGGGTTATATAGTGGCAATGCCATACGATGGTTAATATTGATAAATGAAATTTCAAGGGAGATCACTCTAACACACGTCACACATATATAATGTGCTGGGTCTAGCCTATCACCTTAACTGCTAAATGAGAATACAATAGGCCAGTGCATGCATTGCTCACTGACATTTTACTTCATCTCTGATATCAGTTACAAACATAAACAATTTAATTCTATTTCTGTATACAATGTTCTTCTTTAATGTGACCCAAGGGTTTTGTTTGACACAATATGGTGTTGGCAGTACTGTAACAGTTTGACAACATACTTTGAGCTAATTCTGTACTATGAACATGCATATTCCTGTTATGAGTACAGAAAATCACCGATCAAATCTTACCTAAAGGGACTGACTACCTTTGGCTACACAAGACATACAGGTTAAATAGTGTAAGACTTTTTCTTGTTGTTACTTATAGCTCCGTACAGAAGATCTTACCAGAACACGGTCAGAGTCCATGATGGTGTTGAGACGATGAGCGATTGTGAGGACGGTACACTGACGGAACTTGTCCCGGATTGTTTTCTGAATGAGCTCATCAGTCCTGTAACATAAATTGATCGTCAAAAAGTTACATTTATAATCTATTAATGGCATGATAACTTAACTGCAAAACCTAAGTCACATAAGTTTTTACAACTGATTTAGTTCAAGTCTGCGATTAGCTAATCAAGCAACAACCTAGAGCTAGTTAGCAAAGATGCGAGTTGGACCTTTGGCTTCTCTATACATACCTCGGGTCTATATCCTCATGTATCACAATGAAAGGATTCTCCCAGAGGACGGGTCAGTCATACTACACATTTATACATACCTCGGGTCTACATTAGCTGTAGCCTCGTCTATCATCAGGACACGATTCTTTCGGAGGATGGGTCAGACATACTACACATTTATACATACCTTGGGTCTACATTAGCTGTAGCCTCGTCTATCATCAGGACACGATTCTTCCGGAGGATGGGTCAGACATACTACACATTTATACATACCTTGGGTCTACATTAGCTGTAGCCTCGTCTATCATCAGGACACGATTCTTCCGGAGGATGGCACGTGCCAGACAAATGAGCTGACGCTGCCCAACACTGAAGTTGATGCCTCCCTCCGACACTTCTGCCTCGAGTCCTCCGGGAAGGTCCTCCACAGCCACCTTCATCTGTACCTCCTCCAGAGCGTTCCAAAGGTGATTGTCATCATGGTTACAAAACGGGTCAAGGTTTTTTCGTAGTGGGCCGGTGAATAGAACAGGATCCTGTTAACAGAAGTAATATATTCTATGTTTACCTAAGAGTCTATCATAATTTTAAGTAAGAGCAGGTATTTGGAATATGGATATTTTGTCCAAAGGTAAAGAATTTTGATCAGGTTTGGTTTCATTTTGTTTAACGTCCTTCTAATAGCTAAGGTCATTTAAGGATGTTCCTCTATGTGTGTAGTGTATGAATTATTCAGAACAGACCTCAAATTTAAAGATCCATGCAAAACCTTCACATCAACACTGATTTTCCTAAGGTGTTTTCAGTTGCTGACAGCAAGATTGTCAATGTCAAGTCAGTCAAATAACGTTTTGACAGGCTTTTAATTGTGATATCATATTATAATGCTGTCACCTGATTATAGTAAAGGTCACCAGCTGCACCCGTGTGGGAAACATATCCAACAGGAGCATTGACGTCTCTCTAAAGATATGTGGGAGGAGGGGGGAGACGATGTTACAATTGATTTTTTTGTTTCTGCAAGAAGTTTTTGGGGTTTGGTGATGGACAAGAATTATTCTTATACTAAAAGGAATGTAAAAATCCACGAGGATACAAGATTTTTTAGCTTAGGCTGATGAGAATCAAGGGTGAACTAGCCTCTGGGCTAGTGCCTTGTTTATTTACTTTTTTAATAGTAGTATAGACTGAAGTTGTCTTTTCTGAAGGAAAAGAGACCACCATTTCTGAATATGATTTAGATCATGTTGTTGACTTGATCTATTATGGTAACTGTTGGGCTAGTAGAATCTTAACTTGGGCTAGTAGATGACAGGTAGTGCTTATCATGGGCTACTATCTGGGGAAAAAATACTTAACATAAAACAGGAAGATTCCTGATCATAAAACTGTTATAGCAATATCAGAGAATCCTGGTCATACCTGAGGTATGATGGAGATTTGTTTGCGCAGATCGTGGAGTCCAATCTCCTGGATGTTGACTCCGTCAAGCAGTACATTCCCACCATGTTCTGTGAGACGAAACATCATGGCTATTAAGGAGCTCTTTCCCGCACCTGTCCTTCCCACAATGCCAACCTGTAAACAACATTTCAAAATAGTCAGGTGACTTAACCCTTCAAAGCATGCCTTTTTGTCCTCTATGAACAACTTGAATTTCATCACCATACTTAAGTGTTCATTAATCACGGAGAAACATGTAAATATTGTACACCGGGAAATTTTCGCCTTTTTCGCAGTACTGAGTATTGAGGGTGAATTTATCACGAAGGTCAAAATAGGTACACAACATACTATACATAGTAATAACATGTGAAGGGTGAAAATAACACCAGGCGAAAATGGACTCTACTAGTGGAGGGCGAAAATAACACCAGGCGAAAATGGACTCTACTAGTGGAGGCGAAAATAACACCAGGCGAAAATGGACTCTACTACTGGAGGGCGAAAATAACACCAGGCGAAAATGGACTCTACTACTGGAGGGCGAAAATAACACCAGGCGAAAATGGACTCTACTACTGGAGGGCGAAAATAACACCAGGCGAAAATGGACTCTACTACTGGAGGGCGAAAATAACACCAGGCGAAAATGGACTCTACTACTGGAGGGCGAAAATAACACCAGGCGAAAATGGACTCTACTACTGGAGGGCGAAAATAACACCAGGCGAAAATGGACTCTACTACTGGAGGGCGAAAATAACACCAGGCGAAAATGGACTCTACTACTGGAGGGCGAAAATAACACCAGGCGAAAATGGACTCTACTACTGGAGGGCAAAAATAACACCAGGCGAAAATGGACTCTACTACTGGAGGGCGAAAATAACACCAGGCGAAAATGGACTCTACTAGTGGACGGAGAAAATAACACCAGGCGAAAATGGACTCTTCTAGTGGAGGGAGAAAAATTTGACTGAGGGAAAGGTACGTTCCTGGTATACGGTACCATTACAAAATTTTGTTTCTACCAGATCAGGAACATTGGATGTATCAAGCAGTACATCATTACAGATACATGTCAGACTTCTCTGTATTTACTTGTTACCATTCATTTTGACTATGGACTAAGGACGCAGCTCTTTGGTATATCGGACACCTTAGCTACCGTCAGTGTACCCTAAACAGGACAGTAACCAAAACGGGACACTAATGGAAAAACCTGAGAAATTACCTGAGCCATACAATTTAAAGATGTATTTTCATGTATGTAATTTTCACTTGATGATACTTTTATGTGATGAATTAATAAGTATATCAGCTTTATTGGCTGTTTATTATGGTTACAACAACAGTTTCAGGTTAAAACTAATTACAAAACCATAACACTCTTTTCAGCTGCGTATTTATTTTTAAACTAATGCTAGTTTGGAGAAGAACCTTCTTTAACTCTAAAATATTTGACCTACCTATAACTTTCTGTTCATATTGATAAATTATCCCCCAATATTAGTCATAATATCCGAGTGTCTCTTTCAGGGTACAGTTAGACTTGTTTAAGAGCTTTATAGCATTGGTTACCTGTACAGTATAGGTTGCAGTATAAAATTTTGACGTATACATACAAGGCACTGCTAAATTAGAAAGTTCAGTATGATCAACCATGATCACTGATGATGGTGGGCTGAATTATGTGACTATACAGTTACCAATGATTTATTTTGGGTTCTGATTGGGTGTTGTCATCAGTCTCACCTTTTCGCGTCCCTTGATATAGAACGAGAGATGTTTGAGAACAAGAGGTCCAGTTTTGGAGTACTTTAGGGTTACGTTGGTTCCCTTGATTTCTCCGTTCGGTGGCCACTCTGGTGGAGGTTTGTGGCCCTTCTTTGATTCTAGATCGCCCTCTGTCTCCAGCCGTGAGTAGTCGAGAACACGTTCCACAGAGATCATCTGCATTAGATAAAGTAAAGTTACTACCTCTGTTTTGATGCCAACTATACAAAGTATCCTCATAAAGATTTCTTTTCCAAGCTGTATAATTTCCTTCAACCTGGTTCTGCTGAATTTCAGCACTTTAATGATTATAATATAATCATATATTTTTCCAATATCATAACAGGCTAGATATACCAAAAATTAACGAAAATTCTCCAGATTATTGTCAGTACCAGGTCCAAAAACGCTAGCTAAAGTAGCTACAACAAACCAAAAATTAAGCCAAACAACTTGGTATTGGTTCTTTTTTTCACAAGATTTTAAAATTCAATTTTTGGACAAGGATTTACTGTTTATTGGGAATTTTTCGCTTATTGGGAATTTTTTGCTGCAGTTTATTTTTTGCCTTTTTCACCATTTGCAATGAAGGCAAATTTATCATAAGAGCAATTAACATTAGTTAAAAACACTATAAACATGGCAATCAAATGTGAAGGGCGAAAGCAAAACTTGGCAAATACAAATTTTACAGGTGTACAGCATAAGTTAGGCTAGGTGAAAGTTTCCTGGTACATGTATACAGTATCCTCTTGTGATGGCCAATCATTGCCTCAAATTAGAGTGAGATTGGACAAACAGCCTTGGCACTAACATACCTACGATAATGAAATCTGGGTGGACAGGCAAACACAGTACTACATTCCCCTTACAACTCCAATGTGATGGGAAAATGGGAACACATGAAGAAGATTTCTACACTTGATGCTGTCAAAATGTTTTTAAATGCAAATTAAACAAGGAATTTAAATTAAAAAAGTAAAGAAAAAAATAACCTTACACAACACACTTGGGAAAGTTTTTGGACAAGATTTTGGACATGCTAAAAATACACACCTGATTTTCCACCTCTGCACTCTGTCGAACTGCCCACTGGAACATACCCATCAAGGTCATGGCATAGGTCAAGGACAGGCCAACCTTCCCAGCATCCATGTCTGGTAAAAATTGAAAAAAAATCAGGATAGGGCATCAAAGCTGCAGTGTTAGTGCTAGTCTTCAAAAAGATGTGTTCCAAACAGGTTTACAAAAACATGAATGTGTCTAAGACATTAATGCTCCCCGGGCCCACTACCATACAAATTGGTGTCAATGCTCCCCCGGGCCCACTCCCATACAATTTGGTGTCAATGGTCCCCGGGCCCACTCCCATACAAATTGGTGTCAATGGTCCCCCGGGCCCACTCCCATACAAACTGGTGTCAATGGTCCCCGGGCCCACTCGCATAAAATTTGGTGTCAATGGTCCCCGGCCCAACACCCATACAAATTGGTGTCAATGGTCCCCCGGGCCCACTCCCATACAAATTGGTGTTAATGGTCCCCCGGGCCCACTCCCATACAAACTGGTGTCAATGGTCCCCGGGCCCACTCGCATACAATTTGGTGTCAATGCTCCCCAGGTCCACTACCATACAAATTGGTGTCAATGGTCCCCGGGCCAACTACCATACAAATTGGTGTCAATGCTCCTCGGGCCCACTCCCATACAAATTGGTGTCAATGCTCCCCGGGCCCACTACCATACAAATTGGTGTCAATGGTCCCAGGGCCCACTCCCATACAAATTGGTGTCAATGGTCCCCGGGCCCACTCCCATACAATTTGGTGTCAATGGTCCCCGGGCCCACTCCCATACAAACTGGTGTCAATGGTCCCCCGGGCCCACTCCCATACAAACTGGTGTCAATGGTCCCCAGGCCCACTCGCATACAATTTGGTGTCAATGGTCCCCGGGCCAACTCCCATACAAATTGGTGTCAATGGTCCCCGGGCCCACTCCCATACAATTTGGTGTCAATGCTCCCCGGGCCCACTCCCATACAAATTGGTGTCAATGGTCCCCTGGGCCCACTCCCATACAAACTGGTGTCAATTGATCTAAAAATATTATTATTTATAATAATCCCCAAAAAATATCTGCAATCTAACACTGAATCAGGACAGTAGGGGGTGGAATTAAGTAACACTTATAAGTGCACTCATAAAGTGATGAGGACATAAACAGTCAGGTTTCACAAAATATAACTTGCAATCTCCAATTAATATGCACATATGATTCTACTCCAAAAGTGGTCAAGTGTGAACTTCGACCTTCATGGTAACCACCACCAAAATCAAAGCAGGAGTAAATATTGACAGTACCACACTATGGTGTAAAAACAATCTTTAATTAGGAGTCCATGAGATATCTAGTACACAAGCTCTTTCCTTTTTTTTTAAGTTGTCAAATTTGTTATGAAGGTCACGAGATATCTTGTATATCTTTCTTCAACAGTTGCATGGATGAACAACAAATCAAATTTATACACTGTTTTTTTTCTACCTAAATTTTACAACAGCCTGTTCCTACACGACTGGGAAAGTAAAACTGTTTTTTGCTAGACGAAGAAGCCTGAATCCAGCTGTTAACCCTTTCACCATTGTAGACCATAATGGACTCATCCATATCAATGCAAAGAAAAGTCTACTAAAGTTACATATGGGTGAAAGGGTTAAACAAGGCAAACACAAAATCCCTGAATATAATCCTAACTCCTGAATATTTTGCTTCAATTATGGAGATGGTATCAGTGCAAATATCAATGATGGTAACCTTCAACACTGAATTCAGACTGCGAGAGTGGACATCCTAACTACCTTTTGACATTAGGACAGATAACAGTGCCACCACAGTGACAAACATGGCACAGATCCAGTCTAGTCTGACGGCGAGCCAGCGACTCGTGGACAGGAACATGAACCAGGCTTCAGAATGTAGGTCCTGGTGATTATCAAACTCCTCCATGAACTTGTCCTGAATGGAGAATGCACGGATCGAGTGGAGACCTTGTAGGGAGGCACTGAGGTGGGAAAACACGGGACTTCGCGCTGTTTCAAGTAAACAAAGAGAAACCATTGTCAGAAAATAGTATTGAGTATATGTAAGAGTAGAGTAATCATGTATTGTATGGGATTTTTGTTCGGTACAGTGTTTGTTTACAGTATCAACAGTGTAACATGAAACGTTTTGGGGTACTTTGTTTAACCCTTTCACCACTGTAGACCATTAATGGACTCATCCAGATCAAAGCATGGTAGAGTCTACTAAAGTGGCATAGTGTTGAAAGAGTTAACAGTTTTACTTTTACAACCTACTGTATACCAGAAAACTTTCACCCTGTCAAATTTTTGCCCTTTGCCGAAAAATCACATATTTGCCCAGCATTTATTTTGCCCTTCACATGTCTTACTGTATGTTGTACGGTGCGTACTAATATTCGCTGTCGTGATAAATTGGCTCTTATTTGCCCTTATTGGGAAGGGCGAACAAAGTGAAAGTTGAAATGCAGGTTAAAGTTCCCAGTATACTGCAGTTCATTGATACACATTATTGTTGTCTACTAGAACTTAAACTTAAGACTGTCAAATTATTCTTCCATTTTACAGTTTAACCTTAGTAGCCAGGTAAATGACATCAAAAACAATTAAATTAATGCTGATCTCAGCACCAAACATCAGCACAAGCTGTGATTAATAAGACTTCTCACCTAACCCAACTAGGAAACCATTACATAATACATTCTGATATCTTACTTGTGCCCTCCAGCCTCTTGATATGGCGGGACGTCTTGATGTGGTAGGTGCGCGTGACATAAAAGACGATACACAGCGGTACGAGGGGGATAAATACCCAGGGGTTCACGACGCACACCACCAGTATGATCCCCAGGATTAACAGGAAACACTGCAAAATACACAGCACCATATCTAAAGTCTAATCAATAGACACTGATGTCTAGGATGGTATTTTTGTCCATGTGTTACAAACAGAATAGGAATTTACAGAGTTAAGTAAGCTCTTATTTGAAATACATGGACAAACGACAAATGCTGTGACTACATCATTAATCATTTTTCTTTACTTTAATTATGAAAACAAAGCCCCAGAGGACCTGTATTGCTCACCTCAATATCTATAAGCAAACAACAATATTCTCATAAAAAGTAGTCTGGCAGATGAACACTTTATGGTACCGCCACTAAGCCCACCAAGGGCCAGCCAGCCCTCCAATTACACAATTTTGAATCCCAACTGCCTGAGAAGGTTCCCGACCAATTATGGATGAAATAGATCTCTTAGTTCCAAAGAACAAGTTGATTATAGCAATATGGCCAAATTACCCCCTTTAAGGCCCCACCCCCTCAGCCTTTTGGGGGTCAGCCCCTGCATTTGTAAAATTTTGAATTTCCAACAACCTAATAATTCTTCTAACCAATTAAGGTTGATATCCATCGCTTCATTCCAGTGAAGGAGATACTTAATGCAAAATGGCAAAATTACCCCGAGTTTAAAATCGACACAACCTAGGGATGGTTGTGCAGGGTTAATTGTCCTATCAACAGCTAAGTTCATTTAACCTAGGGATGCTTTCAAATAAATATGTGTGATATCTATTGCCTAGTCCCAGAGAATAGCCCTTTTTGGCCCCCCCCCCCCCCCCCCCCCCCCCCCCCCCCCCTCCCTCCCTCTGACATGTTTCAGCCAATCAAAGACTATATGTTAATATTTTTACCAGAAGCTGCGACTCACGCATTTTGAAATGACGTTGCCAAAAAGAATGTAATAACTTACCTGAACAAAATCAAAGAAGGTAATTGGTAGCATGTCGTCCATGTGGCCCGTGTCTTTAGAAAACCTGTTCAGGATACGTCCTGTAAAAACAAACATGATGATGTAAACAATTAACTGAATAGACTATTAATCCTTTAAAATGTCACCCCAAACTAAAACACAAGTATCTTAAATCCTGCTGGCTGTTTTCAATCTATTTCCCCCCCCCCCCCCCCCCCCCCCCTGTCAGCTTTAAGAAAATAAAGCAACAAAAAGTCTTTTTTTTTTGATAAGTTAGAGTAATAGAATCCATCCCTGATGAGAGGTATGGATAAGGTAGGGATGAAATATTGAGCAGGAGACCCGAGGCAAAGCCTGGGTTTGATTTACCTTATCCATACCTCTCATCAGGGATGGATTCTATTTCTTGCTTATTACCTAAAACCCATAGAAACAGCTGTTCTTCTAGTAAAGTTGTAAATTGTCCGCACATTTCTCATTAGCATAGGAAGTCCAGAAGGCAATTGTAAATGATGCCAATGACCCTGACTGACCCCAAAACGACATAAAATGACGTCACGAACAACAGCGTGACCCCGAAAGGTCACTATAATTCCCCCGCCAGTCTGTGCATGTAAGCAATTTAGACCCGTTGGTCGAATAGAATTTTCCAGCACCTCCAGAAATGCGGATATCTCGGTCTAGTATGCAAGAATTACATCTCTTGTTGCAGTATTCATCCTTCATTTTGATCCAATGCATTTATAATTCCTGTACAGCAACATTGATAAATATAGGATAGGGTGTAAAGATCCGAAAATGATCACTGAAGTTATTGTTTATTGTTTTTGTTTCCAAATCACCATATTTCTTTGAAATGAATCACTAGAAGTAATTCCTGAAAATTGCAGTACCTGTAATTGCTTCTCTCCAAAATGTTTGTAAATTTGTTGGCTAAAGCAAAATTGTTAGTAACTATAGGAAAGGTCTCAAGACAAAAATGACCCCTTGGCCTTTTGGTTGACCTATGAATAGCAACAGTGACTTTGGCATCGACCTTTGTACCATAAAACATGAACTAATCCAAGGTGTTGTCATACTTGACCTTTGTATAAACGCTAAGGAAATCTATCAGAAGAAATGAAATTAGTAGATTCGTGACAATGAATTGCAACATGAAGGACTGACATATGCATGGTTANATGCCCCCCCCCCCCCCCCCCCCCTAAATGTCACTAAATGGCTGCGGCATAAAAAGTGTCCATGAAAATGATATTGATAGTAAACGAAAGAAGAATACACTCACCAACTGGATTGGTATCAAAGAAGGCAATAGGCACACGTAGGAGTCTGTTAAACATGCCATTGTGGAGATTCATGGAAGCATCTACAGCGACCTTGAAGAACATGAGGGCTCGTAGGATACCGAAGAGGAAGACAGCCACAATGATCCCGGTGAATATGTAGATGTTCTGATGCGTATCCACGTAAGGAATGGTGATGTTGGTAATGTTGTGTCCCAGGTCACGCAGGGCCTGATCCTGCTGTATCATGTAATGTCGATGCTCCTCCTGGTTTGACCTTTCAATGTCAAATTCAAAACGAAAAACATTTATGATAAAAAATGCACTAATCAGAAAATGTCCTTATTTTCATCAGAAAAATCTCGCTTATAATAGAATAAATTACCATATGGAAACAATATTTACGATAAATAGTCTGCTGTATATTGATATTTGCTTTTTACTGAAGTTACAGAATATGCCTGCCATGTCTCTAGGTTTGGATGGACCGTACACTACCGAATCTTCACTCTCATTACTTCTGAAATCAGCTTTATTCCATTCGACTTGATTTTTGTTCAAATTAAAAATTAGCTCAAAGTATGGAACAACTTGAGCTATAACATTTTACACTTGTATTATGTCAAATACAGGTAACTGTAAACTCATTTTAGAAATTTGGCCATATTGTTTTTCCCAGTGCAAAAAATTGAAAGATCGGCAAGTATATGCTTTAGCAGAACTGTTAATGTTACGGTACAAGGTTATAAGTTATATATTTGCACGATTTATACGATATTTTTTGTACCAGCTGACAACAAATTTGATTTTGAAACTTCAGACACAAGAGAAAGTATCACGGAATGTTTGATATTATAAAGTATGTATCTGGATATTCAGCAATTATTATACTGACATTTTACATATAATTGTTGGATACAAGTTCTCACCATATAGAAAGCCACCAGTCACTCATGACATAGGAAACCTGTGCCAGCAGATTCAGCAGAACTAAGATGGTGAAAGAGAAAACCCCAGAGCCAGCCTTGAAGTATTCAAAGTAAACCTTCCATCCAATAGTTCCCCCCTTTCTCTCCTCCTCCTCGGGGAGCTGGACAGGCTCCGGCTACAATCAAATATTTACGTTTATTTAAAATCCTCAAACCTCTACATATGTAAAAAACATATATGCCATACAGAAAAGTGATGTGATTTAAGTTTAACCCTTTCACCCCTATGTAACTTTAGTAGGCTCTACCATGCATCGATCTGGATGAGTCCATTATGGTCTACAGTGGTGAAAGGGTTAATACCTTCTACCAAAGAAGGGGTGTGGGATGTGGACATTCTGTCCAAGGGTTGTAGAATTCATGTCAAAACCAAGGCTTCATGAGTTATAATCACAAAGCAGAGTTCAATTCAGGTTTTTCTGAATTTTGGTATTCTCCATTCTATATAAAACATAAAACAACCTTTCTGGCTTAGAGTCCCATGTCAAGTTGTATAGCTTTTATTGTTCATTGTGTTTCCATAGGTTTTGCTGTCCATATACTGGAGAAAAATTTTGATGCTGTGTTTTTATTGTATTTATTATTCTTGGATGGCAACATTGGTAAAATGCACTGTAATTAGCGCAATGTAAAATCTCCGAGTCTGACTTCTGCCATATTCCGTTTTCTTTATTTTTTTTCATTATATTTTCAAACCTTCGAATTTTGAACAACTGTAATTCTGTAAAATGCATCGCAACATCTCATATTTATGAGAATGTTTCTTTTGAAAAGGACTAAAACAAATCTTTCATGACAGTCACAAAGGGTATAGTATAGCTTTACTTACTTGTACCATTTATTTTACAACAAATATTTCATACTAATTGACCATCTTCACCAGCCAAGTGTTAGCTTTGTATACTCCACTTACCCTTGGCGGGTATAGCTGTGTTAACCGAGCCTTCAAACTTTCATGCGGTGCCAATTGCTCGCATCCAATGAAATCGTGTCTTACATATAGCGCTGATGACGAAGGAAAACAGTAATGGTGACGCCCTGTACTGAAGCGCGTTGTCGTTTATGTCAGAGTGTATTGCCCCCAAAAAATAGGCGCATGATCTTTTGGGAAACTTCTGGAGTGTTAAATCAGTCAGTGGAAATCTTTGACTACGTGCCACATGTAAATGATGACCTGGGAAAATATGTGTGCTGCCTTTGGATTGTTTCCATATATCACTGTCATTTATACTCTGCCTCGACATACACATGCTTATGTCAACATGCCGATGGAGTGTGTATATGTAACGGTCATTCTGATTGGTTAAAAAGTTATTGGGAGAAGAACGATAACTCTGTATATCCGCTAGGTGGCAGTGGAGGGAATTATGAAAACACGGCTATATCCGCCAAGGGTAAAGTGGAGTGTATGTGGAGTGTATATGAAGCGAACACTTGGCTAGCGAAGATGACTTATTGACATACATGTATTCTTCACTTTAAATTGAACACATCTGCTAACTATTTAGGATGTGGTTTTGACAGGTTTTACTTTACATACCTGGAACTCTGTGCCAATAGAAGTGAGAGAGAATGTTGAGCCAATGTCACTGGGACCAGGCGAGCGGGAGGAAATATGCGAGTCAAGACGCTGTAGTATGTGTTGTTCCTCTTCATTATCTTCCTCATCATCCTTTTCTGTCTTAAGCAGCGAGGAAAAATCCACCCCTGAAGATGCCATCTCTTCGAACGTCCCCTGGCCTACACACTCCCCCTGGGAACATAGTCAGTCGTTAAGTATCTTGAGTCAAACATGAGGTATTAATATTAGGTATTGAGGCAAGCAGGGCTTCAATTGAACAGTATACTGGTTCTGGTACACCAGAAACACCTGTCTGTAGGAATACCAACTTCTGGGACTCAATTGTTAAATTCCTGCATAGGTTTATAATGACAAGTTAAAGCAAATGTTTCATCAAATATATATATATATAAAAAAAAAAAATGAAATTCAAAACTAAAACTTCATGTATAAGGATTTAAAAATCATAATACAAAGAAAACGAACAGCCAAATGTATGTATACTTTTTAACAAGGTTAGCTTGAGGATCTATGTATTCCCAGCCAGGCCTGTAGCAGGGTAGACTCAAAGTTAGTTACTTATAACAGATATCCCTTTGAGAGACTTACATCCTTCAGTATGATGAGCTCATCAGCCTCGGCTAGGAACTGTAGCTGATGTGTGACTAGGATAACGGGCTTGGACTTCAACACCCCCTGTATTACACTGAAATGATAAACAGTTGATTAAAAATTATCAGTATGTATGCATATACCCTAAAATCTTGATAACAGCTGCGGATTATTTTCATTTTTAGTAATGCGGCGTTCACACAGTGCCGATTATGGCTCCCATTTAAGATCAGACAGCGCTACGACACGAAAAGCGAAAAAGTCAGATTACTATCCTCCATGATCTGGAATGTCCTATCATTGGCTGAATGCAGTCGTATACGTTCGTTACAGAGTCCCACGGATCGGGAATGGTCCGGAGAGGTTGGCCAAGCACTCCTGACAGTTAGGTGCGACCCGTAACATTCGGGAAACTCAGCCGATTTTGTCTAGTCAGATTACAATCACGACTATGTTGTGACAGAATCTGCTGTATCGGATCAAAATCGTAACAGTATCCTGTGTTGTCTGGATGGTGTCTTGACGGTGTCGTGTGGATCGGGACACTGTCCTGATGAATGGGCAAGATTTGGAGAAATTTTTCATTGCCGTTTCTAGCCGATTAAGTCCAGATTGCGTCCAGATTTTGCCGAATGCGTCGGTTCACTGTCCGGTCACTGTCTGATCTCTGTCGGATCTCGTTCGTGAGTTTCTTCATGCGGAAGATACAAATTGTATTAGATTCGGATTGAGAACGGGAGAATCGGGACAAATTCAGCTGGAAACCACTGAATCAAGACGCTTCCTGAACAATATCTGATTGTTGTCGTGATTAAATAAATGTTTTCACAAAGGACTATGTATGGTTTGGGCCTTTTTTGGCCCCCAAATCCATCAAAATTAAAAATCTGCAACAGAACTTTCAAACGGATGTTTCTTTAATTTTGAATACTTTCCCATTACTATTATGTAAACATTTATTTGTGTTTTCAATTTTGGCTGCCAAGGTAACCAGGTCATATTTGCATAAATTATTGAAATTTTAAAATTCAGTCAATTTTGACAGGTTTTCACCTAGTTTTTCTCTTAGCTACCATAGAGCGCACTCTTGAACAAACTTTATATTTCTCCTAAAGATGTATTACTGGTGCCTTCACATTATCCTTTGATATTAAGTTTGTTCAAGCATGTGCTCTATAGTTTCTAGGAGAAAAACTATGCAAAATATCACAATATTCACTGAATATTCAAATTTTTGTAATTTATGCAAATTTGAACTTGTTACCATGGCAACAATAATTAGAAATATAAATAAATATTTTCATAATAGTATTTGGGAAGTATTCGAAATTAAAGAAACAGTCATTTCAAAGTTCATTGAAAGGTTTTGATTTTTGATGCATTTGGGGGCCAAAACAGGCCCAAACCATACATAGTCCTTTGTGAATTTCCCGCCATGAATCACAGGATCTTGATTAGACTTTTGACAAATTTTAATCGGGAGTGGTCCTTTCAAGGACAGCAGTAAAAATCCTGAATGTGTGACTGTACATGTGGCTTAAGGAAAACCATGCTTGTTTTCAAAGCCGACTTATTTTCAAGGAAATCTTATTTTCGAATCATTTAGACAGCAAGTCCTCCAATTTTTGCATGGAAATATATTGTTGTCAATATATTGTTCTCATTTGTCAAAGGAAAGCATAATATAGTATTTTCACCCCTCGGAAAGCATAATATAGTATTTTCACCCCTCGGAAAGCATAATATAGTATTCTCACCCCTCGGAAAGCATAATATAGTATTTTCACCCCTCGAAAAGCATTGTTGACCTCGGCTTCGCCTCGGTCAACAATGCTTCCTTGGGGTGAAAATATGCAATATCGCCCTCTCATGAATGTGATATTTATATACTGTTGCCTTCACAAGCTTAAATAAGTGTATACTAAGGAAGTATTTCAGACTTTTACATTCACAAGCTCAATATAAGTGTATACTAAGGAAATATTTCAGACTTCTACATTCACAAGCTCAATATAAGTGTATACTAAGGAAATATTTCAAACTTTTACCTTCACAAGCCTTCACAAGCTTAATATAAGTGAATATTCAAATAATAGCTAAAGGATATCCACTTTTGTCTCTATTGGGTATGAAGTATGGAATGAGGAATGGGTGACTTCAGGTTAAAAATAACTTACTTTTCGAACAGATGGCGACTAACAGCAGCATCTACAGCACTGAGGGGGTCATCTAACAGGTAGACATCTGCGTCCATGTACAGAGCACGTGCCAGGCTAACCCTCGCCCTCTGACCTCCACTCAGACTGACCCCTCGGTCACCAATCAGGGTACTGTCACCCTGGGGCATCATGTCCATGTCCTTGTTAAATAAAGTGAAGGTTGAAGCAAAGTAAATTAAATGTTAAAACAGAGTAAAGAGAAAATTCAAAAAGTTAGGATAGAGTAGTGTAAAGGTGTTTTGAATGAAGTTAACTAAGAAATAGATAAGGGTTAAAATAAGTAACAAGAGGCCCATGGGCCTAAACGGTCACCTGAGTCTACAGTATTTATTTTTGTTGTTGAAATATGTACCAATTTGAGTAAAAAATAGTATAATGTTAACTTAACTTTGTCAGGACCATGAGCTGATCATTCCTAGACCAATTTTAAGTGAGATCGGCCTATTAGAACTTAGTAGCAAAATAGCGGCCATGGCAGCCAAATTGTATTTCTGATTGACCCGAAAAATAACAACACTTTGTCAGGACCATGATTCGATCATTCCTACAAAGTTTCAGTTCAATCGGCCAAGTAGATCTTTACTTTAAGTTTGAAATAGTTTTCCAAAATGGCAGCTGTGGTGGCCATATTGGATTTCTGATCGACCTGAAAAATAACAACACTTTGTCAGGACCATGAGTCAATCATTCCTACAAAGTTTCAGTTCAATCGGCCTAGCAGAACTTGACTTTAAGTTTGAAATATGTTTTCAAAATGGTGGCCGTGGCGGCCATATTGGATTTATGATTGACCTGAAAAATAACAACACTTTGTCAGGACCATGAGTCGATCATTCCTACAAACTTTAAGTTCAATCGGTCCAGCAGAACTTGACTTTAAGTTTGAAATAGGTTTTCAAAATGGCGGCCGTGGTGGCCATATTGGATTTCTGATCGACCCAAAAAATAACAACACTTTGTCAGGACCATGAGGCGATCATTCCTACCAACTTTCAGTTCAATCGGCCCAGCAGAACTTGACTTTAAGTTTGAAATGTAAAATGTTAACGGACGACGGACGACGACGGACGAAAACGGATAGCAATAGGTCACTTGAGCTAAAGCTCAGGTGACCTAAAAATCAATGAAATAAAGTGAAGTGAAATTAAGTTAGACTGAAAGAGTATAAATTATTTTAAATGAAAGAGTCAAAGTAAATGTTGAACTAAAATCGTTTTAATTAAGTTATGTGGAAAAATCAATAGATTTCAATATTTCAATTTATATCTACCATGGTCTATCTAATTACTTTAAATTGTACAAGCAAACCAGTATTAAGAGACTTTAATTTTTGGAAAGTCCAAACAACGGTCTCTTATCACAGGTGGTCGGTTGATACATATATTAATGGTCACATGATCAGGTTTGACAGTTTAACTGTACTCCCAGTACTCATTACCTACCTTGTGAAGAGCACAAGCCTTCAGCACTCTGTTGTACTTTTTGTTGTCAAATACACCCCCAAACACGATATTCTGTCGCAGACTTGCTGAAAATACCCAGGCCTGCTGGGATACATAGGCAATGCGACCTTTGACCGTCACCTTGCCCTCTGACAGTGGAATTTCCTTGAGAACGCTCATGAGTAATGAAGACTGGAATTACAAGAACAAAATATTATATTCTGTAAGGTATTTTCATGAAAAGATATAAAAAAAAGAAGCTTGTACTTGGCATACCTAAACGAACTTCGTGTTAAATTTGACATTATTTCCATATCAAATTCAAGGTACAATTTTTCTTTATTTTTTTCTTTCTTCAGTTTTTAAAGTTCCATTTCTACTCACATGAAGGAGTGTTTCAGTCTTACCTTGCCAGCACCCACTGGGCCTATCACTGCCAGCAGTTTGCCATGTCCGACCTCCACAGATATGTTCTTCAACGTCGGCTGCTCAATTTTCTACAGGAAAGAAATTAAATATGTTGTATGACAAAATCTGGTCTATTCTTAGTCTCTACCCAAAACCAACATGGCCGTGACTACGCTGTGTGTAATCAGAGGTTGCAAAAGGGGTTTCAATGTTATTCTAATTAATACCCTCGCAAAGTTCTGTCATTGATCTGTTCTGTGGTATCAATAAAATGGCTGACATTGATGATTACAAAACATTTTCAACCGTTTTTGCAATGATATTTTGATACCTGAAGTAGCTTTGCGCAAGGAAGTCAGTGAACTTAAACGAAATTTAGCCATAATAAAAGACGAATATCATACTTTTCCATTGGTGCATAGAATATGATTGACCAACGCATAATTTTCTGCCACAGTTAATTTTTGCCTTTTTCACCCTCTGTAATGAGGGCCAACTCATCATTTACAAGTCAATATTAACATACAGCATACCATATACAGGAAGTAAATGTGAATGGTTACTGCATGGTGAAGGGCAATAATTGTACAAAAGTTTCCAGGCATACAATTTGACATAGGTATACGGGACTTTATCCGTTACCTTCCCACACTTTTCTGTCCATACATTTATTTTTCTATAAATATGAATGAGTTAAGAAGGGAGGGGGTGCTTAATAGGAAAAGTATGGAATATTTACATAAACATGTCTCCTTGTCTTCAGGAAATCTTACCTCATCCCAGTTGGCTGTGATGTTGTCAATTTTGACCATACAATCTCGGATCTGTGGACGGATACCCGTAATGGGCCTCTCCACTTTCAGTTCATCAAGAAGTAGGAATTTCTGTAGGTGAATGAAAGACTCTTAATAATAGCACAGACAAAAAATACTGAATGCATCAGCTACAACAAATAAGAAAATTAAAATATTTATGCTGATTTGGATAAAATTTAAAGATTATAATTATGTACTTCTTTGAAATTATCAAATTAAAACAATTTCAATCAGCTTTATGTAATGAAATATCAATAACTTATTAAAAATCAAACAATTAATTTCAACCCATTTTATATTAATATTTAAAATGACAAATACATTTTAAAAGATTGATGAACTTATCAAAGATCAGAATGAATTTACAATTTTTGATATAAATACATAGAATCAGTAAATCAGTAATGGGAATATAAGTCGGTACTAAATTCACGGTTTACACACCTCATAACATAAAGTTATGTACTACATTCTACATCTCCAAAGCATGTAAAACTCTCCATATCTCCCTAAAGATCTAAACTACAACTCTCCATATCTCCCTAAAGATCTAAACAACAACTCTCCATATCTCCCTAAAGGTCTAAACTACAACTCCCCATATCTCCCTAAAGGTCTAAACTACAACTTTCCATATCTCCCTGAAGGTCTAAACATATCTCCCTGAAGGTCTAAACAACAACTCTCCATATCTCCCTGAAGGTCTAAACAACATCTCCAAACCATGTAAAACTCTCCATATCCCCCTAAAGGTCTAAACTACAACTTTCCATATCCCCTTGAAGGTCTAAACATAGCTCCCTAAAGGTCTAAACATATCCCTCCAAAGCTCTAAATAACTTTTCATATCTCCCTTAAGGTCTTAACTACAACTTTCCATATCCCCATAAAGGACTAAACTACATCTTTCCATATCCCCCTAAAGGTCTAAACAACAACTCTCCATATCTCCCTGAAGGTCTAAACAACAACTCTCCATATCTCCCTGATGGTCCAAACAACATCTCCAAACCATGTAAAACTCTCCATATCTCCCTAAAGGTCTAAACTACAACTTTCCATATCCCCTTGAAGGTCTAAACATATCTCCCTAAAGGTCTAAACATATCCCTCCAAAGCTCTAAATAACTTTTCATATCTCCCTTAAGGTCTTAACTACAACTTTCCATATCCCCCTTAAGGTCTAAACTACAACTTTCCATATCTCCCTAAAGGTCTAAACTACAAATTTCCATATCCCCCTAAAGGTCTAAACTACAACTTTCCATATCCCCCTAAAGGTCTAAACTACACCTTTCCATATCCCCCTAAAGGTCTAAACTACATCTCTCCATATCCCCCTAAAGGTCTAAACTACAACTTTCCATATCCCCCTAAAGGTCTAAACTACACCTTTCCATATCTCTCTAAAGATCAAAACTACAACTCTCCATATCTCCCTGAAGGTCTAAACTACATCTCTCCATATCTCCCTGAAGGTCTAAACAACATCTCCAAAGCATGTAAAACTCTCCATATCCTTCGTAAGGTCAAAACTACAACTTTCCATATCTCCCTAAAGGTTTAAACTACATCTCTCCATATCTTCCTTAAAGTAAATCTCCTTTTATTACCACTTATTACTTTTGTTTAAATAATTCATAAATTTGACGAAATGATCTTAGTAAACAATTTGTGTACGTACAATGAATTAAGTTTTCAAATTGAAGAAAAATCTGCCCATAACCCAAAATGTGCATCTCAATCCCCATGCCAAAATAAGTCAAAATCTCTTTGGCTTTTCTAAAGTTGTAGTCTTTGATAGAAATGCTGCCAACAAACAAATGACAGACCCCACACCACGACATTTACCTGACTCACTTGGCACTTTTTAAGCCAGGTGAGCAAAAAAAACACTCTTAAAGAAGGAAAGGTCCCAAGAAAAAGCCAAGAAAATTAAATTTGTATAAAATTTCAAAAAAATAAATAAAAAAATGAGCATTTGCTTAAAAATCCAATACAGACTGGTGTATTTGAAAATGTGTAATGTGGGAAAAGACATCTCCATGCTTCTAGAATTTCAGGATTTGTCCCGGACCACAAAAATAGTCACGGGACACAACAGTTCCTTCATTGATGGCATCTATATTAAATACTGATACACCGAGTGCTGGTCTTATACCAATGATATTTGACTTGTTAACTTTAAAACTTCAGACTAGAAATCCACAGTCCTTTATGTGACTTCAATTCGAGTTTGGTCTACCTCATGATCAGACAAGCAAACACATAATAAAAAATATCCAATTTTAACTTTGGCCTGGAGTAAAATTATGACACTCCACTTAACGATTAATGCACGACTTCAATTTAAGCTTCATCTCATAAAGACAAACTACATTCCTATATGTGACTTAAATTTCGGTTGTCTTTGTTAACCATAACTACTTTTCTATCCCATGAGAAAGATTTCACCATATATTGTCACCGGTCTGATAAAATCCCATATTTAAATTACATGAAAGAATTTTGAAGTGGTTCAAATTCCATTAAATACAAAAGATATAGGCCTGCATTTTACTCTTTATATTACATATCTTATAATATACATGTTCCTTAACTGATGTTTAAGTAACCAATAACCTAGATGATATCAAAGTAGCATTATTCAATATGGAGAATAGCTAGGCTTGTTGTATTCCATTGCATGTATATAAGAGGTGACCACTGTGGGGCCCCTGTAGAATTGGGGGGTTTTATCTGCGACTTTTACTTCAGGAACATTGTAAAACCAAAACTGATCTGATACCCAATCCCAACTCTGTAGACCTCCATCTTTTCTTACCCGATCCCAACTCTTGGGACCCCTATCTTTTTCCCCCCGATCCCAACTCTTGGGACCCCTATCTTTTTCCCCCCAATCACAACTCTTGGAACCCCCATCTTTTTATCTTTTTCCCCCCGATCACAACTCTTGGGACCCCTATCTCCTCCTCCTCCTCCTCCTCTCCTCTCCCCCCACCCCCCACCCCCCCGAAATATGAACTTATCAAAGACATTTTCATACCTGACCACCTGACCACCTGACCAATGTGTTAACTCTGATAAAAACCTATTTGGAAATGAAGTCTATAGTTTCATGATAATGAATTGCNGATCACAACTCTTGGGACCCCTATCTTTTTATCTTTTTCCCCCCGATCACAACTCTTGGGACCCCTATCTTTTTATCTTTTTCCCCCCGATCACAACTCTTGGGACCCCTATCTTTTTCCCCCCGATCAAAACTCTTGGGACCCCCATCTTTTTATCTTTTTCCCCCCTGATCACAACTCTTGGGACCCCTATCTTTCCCCCCCTGATCACAACTCTTGGGACCCCTATCTTTATCCCCCCGAT